CCATCCCAGAATTGTATCTAGGATCAAAGCCTTTATTAATCAAGGAAAGTAACTCAATTAACACAAAAAGCTCAAGAAGGTGTCAGACCACTAATCCTTAATAATATTATGAATAAGTAGGTTCAGAACGGAGTATATGACAGTACTAATGGCTATGAAATAAATTTTGAACTTTTTTCCCCTTCCAGACCTGGATACTGGAGTCTTAAAAGAACAGATTATAAATCTTGAACTTCCAGTAGAAATAGTGTGGCTAGGAAATCTTCTTCCAAAATTCATTCAGGAACAAACACAGAAAAAAAATCCTGTTTTATTCTTTGATTGGTACCCGAATGCGTTAACTGCCAGCCATAATTACACTCGACTTAAACTTCCGATGTGCAGTGGCGACCCTGAACAGTTGCCGTATACCTGTGATTTCGACGTTCATCAGTTTTCTAAAGTCGTCTGGCATAAAATAAAGATTAACGCGCCTGAAGCCTATCATGTGATATCTAAGATGACGTTCCGACAGGAGGAGTACGAAAGTTTGTTACACAAGTTTAATATCTTAGAGAATAAAACAGATGAGGATATAGCATGTGATTGGATTCTAAATCATAAAAACATTTGGAAACAGTGGCTCCCTCCTGACTTGTCAAACAAGACTACTATATATATTGGAGGGTTATTTCCCCTGAGTGGACCGTATCTTGAACAACCAGGACTTGTTGAAGGTAAGACAAATTTATGCTGTATGCTGGAAGCAACAGGTCTTGGTCAGCTCCTGGTGTGGGTCGAGAAAGTTCCTTCAGATTTCTTTGCATGGTTTCCACTTGTCAGTGGTGCAGGATGGAGGGGCTGACAAGGAACAGCATCTAGTCATTTGAATGGTACAAAAAATGATGACCTGTGTACACATTGGTGTCCTTGTAAAAGAAATAAATGTAAGCATAGAACACTGTAAGGTGTACGCCCATGTTTATTAGCCCAGTCAATGCAGAAAAGTAGGACCCCATTTCATTTCATTTTTTGGACCAGGAACTGGTCGCTAACTGCTACTCATCTTGTTCTTCTTCTTGGCGTGCCTAAGACAGCGTCAGTACAAGTCTGATAGACATGAAAATTGGCATGCTTCTTCTTTAAATGATTATGCATTGATTTGGTGGTTTAGATTTTTGAATTTCATCCAACAACACGGTCAGATCCTGGTCCATAGCATGCTCGTACTTGTTGTAATACAACAGATTTGAAAAATTTGATCAAGTAAACAGGGTTTAAGAGAGTGAAAGTTTCTGCTGATGGTTCTAATCACCAGGCCCCGAGTTCACAAAGCATTCTCAGACTAAAGTTAAGAATTTACTCAAATTTATTCGCTTTAGTTTAACTAAAATATAGCCCCTTTATAAAACTTTTGTTGTTTTAATGTATCAAATACATCAATAAGAAACTATGTGCAAAGTTTTGTGTTTCTGAGTGAAAGATATTTCTCATAAACAGTGATTGAAAGTTGAGTCAATTCTTAACTTTAGTCTGAGAATGCTTTGTGATCATATTTTCAGGTGCCCTGTGTTAGATTATGATGAACTTTCTTGGTCAACACCGAGATCAAACCTGAAATGATCCGGTTTAGTGTGTACATCTTAACCCCATTTAAACACAGCAACACTTACTCCTGACAAGTGTATTTCTATACACCCACATTGAAATGTGGTCGTATATTGTCATCACCCCCTTCCGTCCGACCGTCTGACCGTCCGTCCACAAGCTCTAGAGGCTAAAGTTAATATCCGATTGACTTTAAATTTATACACAGTGTTTAAGGTCATGAGACAAACAAGTCTATTGATTTTCAGCGATTTTTGATAAGGAGGCAGACCACCATTAAATTTCATCATCTCAGTACCAACGAATTGTAGTTCGTCTATTTATAGCAATTCTCTCTCTCTCTCTTTTCTCCCCTTTTGCATGCCCATTTGTGTTGATTTTTTGGTCTAGAATGGACGAAGAGGGTTTGAATTAACATTTTCTGCCAGGTTTTGGTAAATATTCATGATTTTGAGGCTGTTTTCCTCAGGCTTAACACAATTTTAATCTTTCAAAACCTGAAATTGTTGCATTTCCCTTCTCGAGAAAGTAAAATCTATGTGTTTGCAGGGAAATTTCTCTGTCTTCATTTCATTTAGACTGGCTCACCCTCCCCACCCCACCCCTTTTCTTGAAGATGATATTTGGATATTCAATTGAACATTTGTTGACTCCAAATTAGCAGTAATCTGATTTTGTGCTTGAATTGTAACCGAGCATTTTATTTGACACAAACAAATAGTTACATATAAGATTTCAAGGATCTCTAAGACTTTTTGTTTATGGTCAAACATGTAATCCTATGACATTTCTTCCAAATGAGTCCACACCCCAAAATGGATATGTTGTAGATGTGTTTTTTGCAGCTTAATGTTTTACATTTTGAATGTAAATCTATTATTTGTGGTGATCTTTGAAAATGTGGCACTTACAGGGCAATAAAATATTAATTAATAGCCTTTTCATACCCCTTTTATGCTTTGAATTATGTCAGAACTCCCTTTTTCCATCTCATTTTGTCAGGACATTGTTGTAAAGATTAAAACAACTTGCTTCCACATAATATTTACACTATGTAATTTCAAGGATACCTCTGATTGTTAAAGTATTTTAAAAACTGAAATATTCCCATTTTTTAAAAAAAAATAGTGCTTTGCGACCCTTTTATTAGAGTGGCTGGTTGTCACCGAAATACAGCATTTATTTTACATTTATCAATCTATATTTTAATAAATAATTCATACTTCTTAAAACAAACTGTGTTTATATGTATGTATATAAGCCAGGGATAGAAGAACATGGCTTTTAGCCATATTCCATCAACAGTATTACTTATGTGGACACAAGTGGGATTTGTTACCACACCAACATTTTTAGGGGGTGGGCTTACAGGTTTCACTATAGTTCCTTACAGTTACCTTCAATGCAACAAATTTGCAGCTTGTCTTCCTGTATACCGGCCAAGGTTTCTAGAAATAAATGCTTTTCATCTCAGACTTTCCCAGAAATAGGGAAATATTAGCATTTTGAGGCATACAAATTGTCAAAAATGGACCATTTTGTAGAAAAAGGTAAAAGAAAGTCAACTTTTGAAAAATATTCCAATATTTTGAATATTTTTGATGTGACTTGTCTGAAACTCTTTAAATCTTTTCGCAGAACTCACATTTCCACAAAATTAAGAAAGAATCTTCAATTCTAGAACAAAAGGCCCATGGACCTGAGCTGCAATCCGGTATACAAAACACTACATAACTTTAAAGGGTCACCATTTCTGCAGTAATTATTTTTTTCTGATTCTGTATTATAATAATGTTGCAAAAATAAATGTGAAGCTATAAAGAAAAGAATTTTGATGATATATGAACTTATAAAACCATATAGGAGGCAGACCACCATTAAATTTCATCATCTCGGTACCCACGAATTGTAGTTCGTCTATTTATAGCAATTCTCTCTCTCCCTCTTTTCTCCCCTTTTGCATGCCCATTTGTGTTGATTTTTTGGTCTAGAATGGACGAAGAGGGTTTGAATTAACATTTTCTGCCAGGTTTTGGTAAATATTCATGATTTTGAGGCGGAAGGATAAGAGGGTTATCAGGTTAGCTACGGCGATATGTACGGCAACTAGTTACATGTTTTTAGTATGCTTCTTCAAGTTTGTGTATCTCAAAATTTTGGTGTTCAACCTCATACAAATTTTAGTGCAAAGACATGACCATTTGTTCCTCTGTCTGTAGTGAAAAGCATTCAGCCCAACGAAAATTTGGGGAAAAGTTGGAGGTGGGCAAAGAGGCCAGAATTAACATTGAAGTCAATGGGGAAATTAATGGTGGTCTGCCTCCATAAATACTGCCAGAGTTATGGCCCTTGATCACTTCAAAAAATGTTGTGGATGCTCTAGAGGCCAAAGTTAATATCCAATTGACTTTAAATTTACAAGCAGTGTGTAAGGTCTTGAGATGAGGAAGCCTATTGATTTTCAGCAATTTCCGATAATTACTGCCAGAGTTATGGCCCTTGATCACTTCAAAATATCTTGTGGACGCTCTAGAGGCCAAAGTTAATATCCGATTGACTTTAAATTTATACACAATGTTTAAGGTAATGAGACGAAAGAGCCTATTGATTTTCAGCATTTCCTGATAATTTCTGCCAGAGTTATGGCCCTTGATCACTACTAAATATCTTGTGGATGCTATAGAGGCTAAAGTTATCATCCGATTGACTTCAGATTGATACACAGAGTTTAAGGTCTTGAGACGAACAAGTATATTGATTTTCAATGAATTTTGATAACTTAAACAGCTAAATCCATGATATTAAATGTTTCATATACTAAACGTTAGCATGGGGCAGAACTTTATAAAAACCAAACAAATTCTAATGATTTTCTGATAATTACTTAATGAGTTGTTACTCTTAATCAGATTTTAGTGTATTATAAATGTTTCATTAGCTGCTGTGGGCTCATGTTTCGTTGCCTGGCAACCTATCTTTGATACAGGCTGATCACTTTCATCATATTCATCTCAGAACCACCCACAGGCCCCACCTCACTCCTGACACACCCCTGATTTAACACTGTTGTTATACTTTCAATACTTTCAGGTGCTCTGTTGGCGTTAGATTATGTGAACAAGGATCCCAACGTTTTACCCAACCATTCTCTGGAACTGATCATTAGTGATTCTGAGTGTAAACCGGATGTAGCCATGAATGCTTTTATCAAATTTATAACTCAGATGACCAAACCACTAGCGGGGATACTAGGTTGGTATTAAGTTTATAACTCAGATGACCAAACCACTAGCGGGGATACTAGGTTGGTATTAAGTTTATAACTCAGATGACTAAACCACTAGGTTCAGATGACTAAACCACTAGGTTCAGATGACTGAACCATTGTAGGTTGGTATTAAATTTATAACTCAGATGACCAAACCACTAGCGGGGATACTAGGTTGGTATTAAGTTTATAACTCAGATGACCAAACCACTAGCAGGGATACTAGGTTGGTATTAAGTTTATAACTCAGATGACTAAACCACTAGGTTCAGATGACTAAACCACTAGGTTCAGATGACTGAACCATTGTAGGTTGGTATTAAATTTATAACTCAGATGACTGAACCGACTGGGTTACTAGGTTGGTATTAAATTTATTTATAACTTTGATGACCAAACCACTAGCTGGGATACTAGGTTGTTATTAAATTTATGACTCAGATGACCAAACCACTAGCTGGGATAATAGGTTGTTATTAAATTTATGAATCAGATGACCAAACCACTAGCTGGGATATCAGGTTGGTATTAAGTTTATAACCAAACCACTAGTTGGGATAATAACTTGGTAAAGAAATTTATAACTCAAATGACTGAACCAACTGGGACACTAGGTTGGTATTAAATTTATAACTCCAATGACTGAACCAACTGGGATACTAGGTTGGTATTAAATTTGGTATTAAAGATGACTAAACCAGTTAGGGATTCTAGGTTGGTATTAAATTTGGTATTAAAGATGACTAAACCAGTTAGGGATTCTAGGTTGGTATTAAATTTGGTATTAAAGATGACTAAACCAGTTAGGGATTCTAGGTTGGTATTAAATTTATAACACAGGAAACAAACACACCCAATGTTAATACTTGGGACCAATGAATGAAATGATTATGCATGTCTGTTTATGTTGGAACTTTTAATCTTTAAGTGGCATTTAGCGATTGGAAAACACATTAATAGAACACAATTTTTATGGGAAACAATCACTGGAAACCAGTGATTGTTTCCCATAAAAATTGTGTTCTATTATTGGAACTTTTAAGCGTGAAATTTGTGTCCATCAAGCAAAAAAAGATAATGGGTACACAGAAATGCATCTTGTAGGTGGATTGATGGTCACCCATTACATGCACCATTTTCCAATATGACACTTTGTAATTCTTTTCAGGCCCAGCTTGTTCTGATGCAGCCGAACCAATAGCAGCATTATCCAAACATTTTAATGTTGTTGTCGTTAGTTATGAAGCCGAGGCAGATTCCTTGTCTAATCGTTTTAAATATCCGTATTTCTTCCGAACTATACCACAAGTTAATCATCACAGGTAATTTCTTTTAATCAGGAATGGATTAAGATCTCGAAATGTCAATCTGATTAATATACAGATGTATATTTCATTTCGTTTTTATACTTTCGATGGTCTACACTACATGAAGATCTGACAAGTTAGTGGAGTTCACGTCAGGGGTCAAACGAGCGGCTTTAGACCCTATGACGTCAGACATTGATTAATCAATCGCCGTTGATGTTTCTAGTGGTTTACCCACAGTTCCATGCATAAAAAGGCCAAGAACTCGCTGTAACAGACCATTTCATTGGCTAATTAAAGTAGAACGCCTATAACATAACAACTCTTCCAGATCCTAGTGTCGTACAGACAAGTAAAACAAAATAAAATAGGATCTGTGTTTTAATCAGATTGTCAAAATGTATTCTAATACAATGTTTTGGGGGAGCCACGGTGTTTCAGTGAGTAAAATGTTGGCTCGCTAATTTGGAGGTTCCATGTTCGATCCTTGTGTTGACCGGGAAAGTTCATTGGGATTTTTCGGCATGGTTCCCCCCTTGTCAGGGGTGTAGGACGAAGTCCTGGCAAGCGACAGCTTATGGTCATTCGTTTGGGACAAATAAAACTAGGTCCTGTGTACACATTGGTGTGTACGTAAAAGAACCCTTGCAGGTGGAAGTAGACTGTAGCACACTGTATGATGTATGCCCGGCTTCATTAGCCCAGTCGGTGCAGAACAATGTTTGGTAAATACTCCCCTCTTTAATGTGACAAGGAGTAGGGTCGCCTGTCCCACCTCGTGTGTTTTCTCAGGGTCCTCCGGTTTCCTCCCACTGCTAAAGACCCCTATCGAAATGACCTAGTTTGTGTCAACTGAACGTTAACCTATTCCCCCCCTCCCCCCAGTCAACCTCTCTATCTCTTTCGTTAGCCTGGTAATTGGTGCACAGATTAAATCTAATTTCATTACATGTAGTTTTGAAAACAAGTCCAATTGTACTAGGGACCAGGAACTGACCATGTTATTGGATGAATTTCAAAAATCTTAAAGAAGAATCATGCAAATTTTCATGTCGATTGGACTTGAATTGACGGAACCTTAGGCTTTTTTTAAGAGCGTCACCCAAACAAGAAGAACAAGAAGAACAAGATGAGTAGTGGTTAGCAACCAGTCTCTGGTAAAAAAAAAAACCTGTAGATAGGTATAGATTGTGTATTGAATGGTTAATTGAGTTTTTGATATGAAAATTAAATAAGATAATTTTTCTGTTATCAAGGTATGTCTACGAGAAGTTTTTTAAATCTATGGAATGGTACCATGTCGGTGCTCTGGCAGAAGTGGGTCAAGAGTTGCCTGGTTACCATGTACAACTTCAGCAACATCTACATCGTAAAGGAATATCTGTCTCAGTTAAACGTAAAATAGCCCGTGATACTCACGAAATCGATCTCTCGCAGGTACTACTTTCTAAATTCAACATTCATTTAAGTGTTCAAATTGAGCTCAATTTCAAACTGAATTAAAGTGACATGAAATTTCACACCAAATGAACTCAATTTCAAATATCGCATCAATTTAATTAATTTTGAAATTTCACATCAATTTAACTCAATTTCAAATTTCACATCAATTTAACTCAATTTCAAATTTCACAGCAATTTAAATCAATTTCTAATTCCACGTCAATTTAACTCAATTTCAAATTTCACATCAAATGAATCAATTTCAAATTTCACTTCCAGTGAACCAAATTTCAAACACCACATCAAATGAACTCAATTTCAAATTTCAGATCACTTTAACTAAGTTTGAAATTTCAGATCAATTTAACTTAATTTAAAATTTCACATCAATTTAACTTAATTTAAAATTTCACATTAATTGAACTCAAATTGACAATTTCACATCAAATGTACTCAATTTGAATATTAAGAGATTTATTGAATTAGGTGACTGGGATACATAATGTAAGATTGGGATACATTATGTAAGATTTAGATAAAGAACTGACCGTTCTTGCTATAATAGTTCCAAAATAGATGTTACAAAATGAATACATTGATAACTTCATTCCAATTACTTTATTCTGGGTGAAGTTATCACTGATTGAAGTTTGGTCAAATTGTAGCATTTAATATCATATCAACGGTACTTGACTAAGTCACGATTATTTATCTTATTCTTAAACTCTTAAATGGCTGCAGTGTTATAATCTTAAAATCAGAGCCATCTAATGGACAGAGAGTTAATTATGGACTTGTTGTTCTAAATAATAATTCATATAACATTTGAAGCCAGAAAAAAATACCTGTAAACGGCAGATTTAGCTCTTACATAATACATCTTCGTAAATAAACTTTTTACTTCATTATGTCACACTGGTAAGCTGATACCGTTAGGCCTTTTAGTAATGACAATTTTTGTCATTAAATCATATAAGTGGACAGTATTCTAAACTAATGTTTAGTATGTATAGAAAGTGGTTAGAAGGTGTGTAACTAGCTGTACAAGATGTCACTACTGGTGTGAAAACGTGATATTTATAACACCCATCACTATTGAATACACAAACCTAACCAATATTAGTGTATATCATTCAATAGTCACAGTTTTAACACCTTAGTGACAAAACACTTACTTAATGACTACTGTCTGATTACTAGCAATTTTAATGAACTAATAAACAATATATAAACTGACGACTTTGATCTATTGGTGTCGTATGTTTTCATTTATAACAGTTATTTGTTGCTTAGTCAACGGTATCCATGTTACAGTGTCAGATAGAGAGAATGTTTTAATCTACTTAATATCTAAGCCATCCGATGAACTAGAGTGTTGATTATTATTCTCTCATGTTAATAAATGTTTTAATGATAATTTATATAACATTTGAATTTGAAGTGAGAAAAAAGATCGGTCATAGGCACATTTATAATATTTTTTTATTTCATACTGTCAGATATTTGCTGATTTACGATCTCAGAATGTTCGTATAATTATTGCTGATTTCTTCGTGGCTGCTGCTAGAGCCATAATGTGTGAAGCTTTTAAACAGGTTAGTCAAAGTTCTTTAGTAATTTTCAGCGTGGTTCCCTATTTCAGTGGTGCAGGTAACAGTGTCTAGTTATTTGGATGGGACAAAAACCTGTGGTCCTTTATATAAAGAGTTATTTTCCAACTTTTCGGGTTAGTTGGCAATAAATGAGTTCAATAATCCCCTCCACTCAGTTCAAATCGAATTTTGGGTGGTTGGGTGATCAAGTGGTTTAACATGTGCACTTTAGTTCTAAAGGTCTGTCACTGACTCTGTGGTTTCAATCCCAAGCTTGAATGTGACAAGGAGTAGGGTCGCCTGTTTGATTTACATTTCTCATCAAGTAAACTTTCCTCACTTTTTAACATTGTATACATTGTATATTTTGAGGGACCTTGATCCCCACTTTTTAACATTGCAAACATTGTATATTTTGAGGGACCTTGGTCTCCTCATGCTGTGGAACCCATGGTGGTTCACTGAGAAAGACGCTGGCTCAATGGCCTGGAGGTCGCGGTTTCGGCCAAGAAAGTTCATCAGGATTTTCCGCTGTGGTTTCCCCTTGTCAGTGGTGCAGGATGGAGGGCCTGCTAAGGACAGGTGTCTAGTCATATTGATGATACGAAAAACCGAGGTCCTGTGTACACATTGGTGTGCACATAAAAGATCCCTTAAGAGTTGGAATTTGATATAAGAGTAGGTCGTAGCGCCACTGTCCGAGCAAAATTTCCGTCTCCATTAGCCCAGTCGGAGCAGAACAGTAGGACGTTAAACCTCATTTCATTTCATTTCATTTCTCCTCGCGCTGACTTATATACTTAATCTGAATTATGCCAACAGGTTTAAATATCATATATATGTATTGTACGTTAAAATTGTAATTAACAACAACATTTATTTATTGTTTTGTTTGTTTAGGTTTGTGTTTTTGTTTGTTTTGGGTTTTTTTTTTGGGGGGGGGGGGGGTGATGTCCAACTGGTTAGCACTTGCGCGCTGTATCATAAGGTCTGTCATTGAGTCAACTGGCATGGTTTCGATTCCCCGTTTGTACATGACAAGGAGTAGGGTCACCTGTCCAACTTCGTGGGTTTTCACCGGGTCCTCCAGTTTCCTCCCACTGCTAAAGACCCCTACACGCAAGCAAATTATTAAGATAAAATTGACCTAGTTTGTGTCGAGTGGACGTTAAACCCCATTTCTCTCTCTCTTGTTTTGTTTTGTTTGTGACAATGGAAAAAAAGTAAATCGTGAATGATCTGCTTTTTAAGGATAACCAATACAATGTACACTGGTTTATTTCAAATTGTTTGCGGCTGTATCAAATGTTACTGTTGGTTTATTTACAGAAAATGACAGCACACGAAGGTTTTATATGGTTTTTACCGTCCTGGTATACCACGGACTGGTGGGACGTAGATTTCTACAACAGTCCCCCAAATCCTGGTGACTTCCGACCACAAGAATCAGTCCCTTGTACTACAGCCGAACTTCTTTACGCCATAGACGGACATTTTATCTTGACGAAGGCGTTCACAGATTTAGATTCGACTCTGGTTGCAGGCGGTATCACGGTGAAGCAGTATAAAGATCAATACGCTGTCCGAGTGGGATCAGCGGTAAGTATATCATTTATTTTCCTCCGCCTTTCGAAAATCACAGGGTACCATTAAAATGGGTCTGTCATTCCGTCTGTCTACCATTCTGTCAACCAGTCTGTCTGTCCGTCACACTTTTTTAGACACAATAACTCTCCATTTAATTGAGCTAGAACGTTCGAACATATGGGGTTTTCTCCAAGCCCCGAGTTCACAAAGCATTCTCATTCTTCAGTTAAGAATTTACTCAACTTTCAATCACTGTTGATGAGATATACCTCTGATTCGTAGTCTGTCACCGTTTGTAGGGTGGCCCATGTACTCTACAGAAATAAAGTCCACCGCTGATAGTTCGAGACTACCACTGAAGCGTACACATTCGCCGTGCCGAGACCAACTTTCTGACAGTATGATACTATAAATAGCCATGGCACGTGCAATTCTCTACAAATCTATCAACTATTACAGCCGTAAAAAATTTATTGTTGACGATTTTGAATAGCAGTGAAATAAAGCTTCTTGGTTATTACAGCAGATTTAGAAATTACGTTCGTTTCATTTTTTAAATCGCTTTATCATTAACTGTACCGTTAAGAGCGGCATCTTTTGGTTTAGTACAAATAATATCTCTGAATCACTCTGGTTAGACAGGAACATGATACTAGCAGTAGTTTCATTTTACTTTTACAAGGTTCTTAAAACGATTGTTGAGCTACCTAACGTGCTTATTTCTAAATTCAATTTCTTGTTCTAGCTTTCTGTTATGTTTCGTAAAAAAGTAGTCTTGATTATCCCGACCTGTCAATCAGACGTAGAATGGTCGATAGACTGGTTAAGCGAGACTAATTTCAAAACAAGGGCACGTAACCTATCTTTTACTCAAAAGTGTCTGGATGTTATGGACGACAATTGGAACCAGTTTTCAGTCTATTATTTATAGATGATTAATGGTCATAGCTTATTAAGTACAACATGATCGTTTATTTAGTGACTATAATTGTGTGAAACTGATTTGAGGCTTGGCATATATATAAATATTGTGGCGTAATTGTCGAGATATATGGAGATATATGGAGATATTTATTTATGGTGGGTCACCCTACCGTTTGTCAGCCTTTATCGTACATGTATCATGTATGTCATGAATTGTAGTCTGTAGATAAGCGGTAATCTGTTTGTCAGATGTTTGATATTATTATAATATACTTTCTCATTGATGACTATGTTGTTGATGTTTGTTCAGCTAAAACCCTACACAGTTTATTTCAATAAGATTTTGTTGAAATTTTTTGGTTTTATCAAATCAATAAGATTATGATTGGACCAGTATTTTTACTAACTGCCGGTACTGTTAAATTTTGAAACTATCGGAGACACTGTAACACTGAATGACATTGTGAGAAAGATATTTTTTTAAATTGAATTGACCATGATAATTATTTGACCATTATATTATAATTATTTTATTTGACCATGATAACTATTTGAATTGACCATGTTAATTATTTAAAATTTGAATTGACCATGTTAATTATTTTAATTGACCATGATAATTATTTGACCATTATAATTATTTTATTTGACCATGATAATTATTTTAATTGACCATGATAATTACTTGAATTGACCATGTTAATTATTTAAGGATGTTGAAGAAAGTGAGTTTGCTAGTTTTGTATACGATGGTGTTTGGGTGTTTGCTCATGCTCTCGATAAACTTCTTCACCGCCATCCTGGTGTCGAGACTCGGCTTCACGAAGGGAAAATAACTAAGTAAGTTTATATGATTTTATTATGCTGTTGTCCTGTCCGTGGATCTGAACTCTAGAGGCCACAATTTTTGACAAAATCTTTTTTGAAGTTTATCAATGACATGTCTGCAGCCATTACTTTCATTTTGTTATAATTTCATTTTGTTATATACAATTTCATTTTGTTATAATTTCATTAATTTCAATTTGCTATAACGTCATTTTGTTTTATTTCAGAGCATACATGGATGCTTTAAATGAGACAAGTTTTCAGGGCGTGTCAGGTTACATACGATTTGACGGTAGCGATAGGATGGGCAACGTTGATGTCATACAATTCTTCCATAATGAAACCATTCTCATTGGTCAATATCAACCAATGGCAAATGATGCGGAAGGAAGTCTACGTATATTCCACAAGAGAATAAGATGGCTGACACCGTCTGGAATGAGGCCAACAGACGGCCACGATAGTAAGTCAGGTCATTTTCATTCTACATCTTATTTTGTTTGTGTATAAAGATGGGAACTGAAATTGAATTCTGGGTAAATTGATGAATCACTCCATTTAGCATGTAAGGTGAGAGAGAGAGATAGAGAAATGGGGTTTAACGTCCACTCGACCAAAACTAGGTCATTTCGGGACTAACACATGGTTCAATTTTATTTCAATAATTCGCTTGCACGTAGGGGTCTTTAGCAGTGTGAGGAAACCGAAGGACCCAGAGAAAACCCACGAGGTTGGACAGACGACCCTACTCGTCACGTACAACCGAGGGAATCGAAACCCTGCCAGTTGACTAAATGACAGACTGTATGAAACAGCGTGCACGTGCTAACCATTTGGCCATCATCCCCCCAGCACGTAAAGTCATATGGTCGATCATAGAGTCCAAGGGATGTATGTATCATTGCCTGGCAACCTGTATTTTGATCAAAATCAAATTAATTTAACCATGATTACAACAGGCCCGGGACTGAAATTCAAAATAAGAATAGGCCATAGTCCCACTGCCCGGGCAAGATTTCCCTCATAGCACATTGCATGGTATATGGTTGACTTCATTATCCCGGTTGGTGCAGAACAGTAGGACATTGAAAAACCCATTTCATTTCATTTTATTCACATAAAAAAAAATAAATGTTTCAAGTAATTAATGAGTGTAATTTATTTATTTGATAATAAAGACAGGTTGATCTTCAGCTTAAAGATACATTATGGGAGATTCGATAAAGAGCTGGCAGTTCTCACTATAATAGTTAAAAGCTAATAATGTAAAGGAAATTTGCTGAAAGTTTCAGTCAAATTGATATACTCTGAACCGAGATTTTAGTGATTGAATTTTGGGCCTAGCCTTGATTATCATTAATAAAGTCGGTACAATAAAAAACAAAATCTTGATTATCCATCGCAGGCTAGCGATGCCATCGAGAGTTGATTATGGTCTGGATAAGTTAATTAATGTCTAATTAATAATTTAGATAACTTTTCAGGCCTAAAATAAGACCTGCAATTGGCAGATTTAACTCTTGCATAATGTATGTTTAACTGTTGACTTGTTATTAGATTGTATGGATAAAGGCTATTTTCTTGTTATTTTTAGATCATGAACATTGTGCTATCGAGTCGTTTCGTAAGTTTCTGGGTGTATCGTGTAGTATGGCTGTTATTGTTGGTAATGTCTTTGGATTCGCTGCGTTTATTGTGGTCAGTGTTTTGTGTCTGGTTTTGATTAAATGCAGGTAATTAAATTATTCATATACAGAAATACTTTATTAGACATATTAGACATATCTACATGTTTTCCGGCGTGGTTTCTCCTTGTCAGTGATGCAGGATGGAGGGCCTGACAAGGACAGCTGTCTAGTCGTTTGGATGGGACGAAAAAACCGAGGTCCCATGTACACATTGGAGTGCACGTAAAAGATCCCTTGGCAGTTGGAATTTGATATAAAAGTAGGCCATAGCGCCGTTGCCTGGGCAAAATTTCCCTCATAGCACTCTGTAAGGCGTATATACCTGTCTTCATTAGCCCAGGTTAGGAGCAGAACAGTAGGACGTTAAACCCCATTTCATTTATCTACATGTTTCATTGAAACCGATGTTTTGAGCCACAGAACGAGTTACCAAGATCCTGTCTACATCAAGAAAAAAGGTTATCTGGATTTTCCTGCGTGGATCCCCCTGGTCAGTTGTGCAGGACGGAGGGCCTGACAAGGAGCAATGTGTAGTCATTTTGATGGGACAAAAAACGAGGTACCGTATACACATGTGCATAACCAGCGTGGTATCCCATTATAAGTCTTGGATGACTGAGGGGCGGACAAAGATTTGGTCCAGGCATTCGGATATAACTAAAATACAAGACCCTGTTGACAGTTAGAATTTGAAATAAGAGTAGGCAGAACAGCATTCTCAGCATCATTATCCCAGTCAGTGCAGAACACGTTAATTTTTTAAGTCGTATTTTTTTATTATTTTCAGGTACGATTCCAAGGTGAGAAAAACTCACAACAGAATGAAGGAGCTGGGGTTATTTTCTACAGATTTTGCCCAGTGTTTAAGTCTAGATGGTTGGGAAGTGCCGCGTGAATGTGTCGTGTTGAATCGGACATTAGGTGAAGGTGCGTTCGGTACTGTTTTTGGTGGTGAAGCCTATTTATCTCATGAATGGGTGGCGGTCGCAGTTAAAACATTAAAAAAAGGTTCCACCATGGAGGAAAAGGTAGTTATTATTATTGTATCTCGATGATCCAATCAAATTTTATGGTGCGAAAGGCAGTGGTAGTGCAGTGGAAGCTTCGATTGGCCCCCTGGATCTATTCACTTAATCTGATATATCTGTTTGTTTTTTAAGATGCCTGTGTATATTGTATGTTGTGTGTATCGTGTCTTGTGTATAGGTTTATCTTGTGTAATTGTTTGTGTTTAGGGTGGGGGGTGGATGGCCAAATGGTTAATGTGTGTGCGTTGTATCATAAGGTCTGTCATTGAGTCAATTGGGGGTGGTTTCAATTCCCCGGTTGTACATGACAAGGAGTAGAGTCGCTTTTTTAACCTCGTGGGTTTTCTCTGGGACCTCCAGTTTCTACCCACTACTAAAGACCCCTACGCACAAGCAAATTATTCAAATAAAATTGCACTATATGTTAGTCCCAAAATGACCTAGTTTGTGTCGAGTGGATGTTAAACCCCCTCTCTCTCATTTGTTTTTGCAGATACCAGTGTATATTGTGTCTTGTACGTAGGTTTGTCTTGTGTAATTGTTTGTGTGTGGTGTGATCCTCCTGCAATTACTATGTACTTAAACAAATACTTTACTTCTTTAATGTTTGGGGGGTTGGATGGCTGAATGGTTAGCGTGCGCGCGCTGTATCATAAAGTCTGTCATTGAGTCGACTGGCGTGGTTTCGAATCCCCGGTTGTACGTGACAAGGAGTAGGGTCGCCTGTCCAACCTCGTGGGTTTTCTCCGGGTCCTCCGGTTTCCTCCCACTGCTAAAGACCCCTACGCGCAAGCGAATTATTGAAATAAAATTAAACCATATGTTAGTCCCGAAATGACCTAGTTTGTGTCGAGTGGACGTTAAACCCCATTTCTCTCTCTCTCTCTCTTTAATGTTTTTCAGTGTTTATAGAGATCTGCCTGTTCTCCAATCCAGTTTCTGTGAATAAATAATGTTTTGAAAAATATCGTCATCATCAATCTCCAATATTTATTTCAGTTAAATTTTTTGAGTGAAGCAGAAGTCATGAAACGTTTTAAACATGATAATATCGTGGAATTATTGGGCGTATGTACACGTGGTGAACCTGTTTACTGTATCATGGAGTTCATGCTACATGGTAGGTGTTTTGATCTTTCTATGGCTAAATTTATTTATTAAGGCCACCTCAATTTTTGTCGAAATATGTCTGGAGTGGACGTTAATCTCTCTCTCTCTCTCTCTCTCTCTCTCTCTCTCTCTCCCTCTTTCTCCCCCTCTCTATCTCTCTCCCCATTCCTATCCTCTGTCCCCCTCTCTCATTTGTTCTCTCTGATCGTGATGTATATTTAAATGTCTACAGGTGATCTAAAGACATATCTATTATCCAGAAGAAATATTGTTGATAATAAAGAAATCCGTGAAGCTGAAGATATCAATGCCTCAAGTTTAACACAGATGGCTCGGGATATAGCTGCTGGTTTGAATTACTTACATGAATTAAAATATGTACACCGGTAAGTAAAAAGTACTGATTAAGAGTCATTCTGTGCATTGTACATTTTAATTGGTGTGTTACAGTCCTTTTGATCTTGTCGTTGTCATGTATGGTTTCAGTTATGTTGTTGTATTTTGTCTTGTATCTGTATTTTTGTATTAGCTTGATATTGAGAAAATACTCTTCGAAACGTCGCCTTAAAATACACTAGTAGCTCTTTTCCATAAGTATTTATTTTTTCCCATTAGTCCTGTCTTATCCTTCATAGATTAAAGTGGACATTGAACTGATTGTTATAGTTGATTTATGTTTTTTTTACAGAGATTTAGCGTGTAGAAATTGTTTAGTACATGCTGATAAAACGGTGAAATTGGCCGATTTTGGTATGACTAGAAAGATGCACGAATCAGATTATTATAGATTCAGTAGAAAAGGTGAGACTGCTCCTCTCAAACTCTTTGGCTGGCCGAATGTTAGAAGGCATGTACTGTAGATCATAAGGTCTGTCATTGAGTCGGACTTCTTCTGTCGTACTTGGGGGGGAGGGGTCCAGATGGTTTAAGGCATGCGCTTTAGATTATAAAGGTCTGACATCGAATCAAGTCTGTTACAGACACCTTAGTTCCAGACATGTACCCAGTACACATTACATTTGGAAGTTGCGGTGGATCAGTGAGTAAGGCGATTGTTCGCTAACCACGAGGAATGGGTTCTGCTCCCGCTGTTGGCGGAGAAACATCTCTTGGATTACGTGACAATGAGTAAGGTTGCCTGTCCAACCCCATGGGTTTTCTCAAAGGGTCCTTCGGTTTCCTCCCAATATCATATATTATCAAAACCAGCTGGGGTCAATAAGTTCACTGCATCTAAATAATAGTTCTTATTTTATACGATATACAATTTTATGAAAGTTATTGAACACTTTGTTACATTACAACAATTTATTCTGGCATCTTTAGACTTATTGCAGCTCAGATACATATCTCATCCATGGTAGCCATTGACCTATCACTGTGCTGAAAAGTTTTTCACTTTTTTCTGTCGTTTATTTTATAGGCATGTTACCGGTTCGATGGATGGCACCCGAAAGTGTGCTGGGAAGTTTTTAATTTTTTTCTGTTGTTTATTTTATAGGCATGTTACCGGTTCGGTGGATGGCACCCGAAAGTTTGTGGGACGGGCTTTTTACGTCCAAGTCTGATGTGTGGAGCTATGGGATATTAATCTATGAGATTGTGACGTTTGGAAGTTTTCCGTACCAAGGAATGTCCAATAATCAAGTATTGGAATATGTGAAATCAGGAAATAAACTTTCCATGCCAAATGGTTGTTCAGAACCAGTGTAAGTTAATAAAACCATAGCCCAGAATGAAATGAAATGGGACCTACTCTTAAATGTCAAGATTCTTTTATATGTACGGCAATGTGTAAACAGTACCTTGGGTTTTCGTCCGATCCAGGGGGGTTGTATGGACGAATGGTTAGCACGTGCGCGCTGTATCATAAGGTTGTCATTGAGTCAACTGGCGTGGTTTTGATTCCCCGGTTGTACATGACAAGGAGTAGGGTCGCCTGTCCAACCTTGTGGGTTTTCTCCGGGTCCTCCGGTTTCATCCCACTGCTAAAGACCCCTACGCGCATGCAAATTATTGAAATGAAATTGAGCAATGTGTTAGTCCCTAAATGACCTATTTGTGTCGAGTGGTTGTTAAACCCCATTTCTCTCTCACTCTCTCTCTCTCTCACCAACCAACAAAGGCATAATTATATAATATTTGATTTCAGGTACAATTTTATCAACTGGTGTTTATCATTTGATATGAAAGTTCGACCGGACATGCGACAGATCCTCGAATTCCTGGAAAAATATCCAGACCTCTTAATGTCGTGCATCGATCTTCCAATGACCAGCGTTGTCATGGAGGATACAGACTCGTTAGAAATGGCGATACCATCAGTGCAAAATACCGTCAACTTACAAACATCCCCGATCGCGTACCTCCAGCGACGATCAGCCGGCTCGCAGGAAAAGTTAACGGCATCGCGAAAATCCTCCAGTATAACTCTGCCAGGAACTAAAACAATTGCAAAGTCACAGTCCCGAGTTGTGTTAATGCCAAATGAACAGACGCGACGAAACAGTATTAATGCGCCGCTTGTTTTGCCAAAGGAGTTGTATGTGAATTACGACATGCGCAGAAGTAGTTCTTATCAGAAACAATTAATGACGCTAGCAGCCGGTGACAAAACTGACGCGACAAGTGATTATTTTAGCGACAATTCCAAAGAAATTTGTCAAACCGTGACGTCACTTTGAAAGAGATTTCAAGAAGATATTTCGATACAGTAGTAGTTGCTGTGATACTTTGTGAAAAACTACTTTAAGATATAGCTACTGTGAATTAACAGGAAAAAATGGCGTAATTATTTATAGATTGTGAGATATGGAGATTATTCGAAACTGTGAAAATGGCCCGACAAACATTTCTGTAACAAAAGTAAAAAAAAGGGTTGGGGTGCCGAAATTTAGATTTGCGTTGATTCCATGATGTAGGAATAAGGTTTTTGAATGTGTGATACAGTGCAATTCAACATGGTGCCAGAAGAAAGGGTAAATGTGACCGGTGCCAGCAAAATCAGTCATTTGATCACTTCACCAAAATTGAGTTCTATATAACTGTAGGCTTTAAAAAAATTGCAATAAAAATTGCCATTCAGACTTTGATTGCAAATTTATTTGACGTGAAATAGACGTCTAATTTCGATTGTTTTAGGGAGAATCTTGATCATTTATGATTCAACATCCTTTATTAAAATCAACTTTTGAGGCATTTAGAGTTCAAATAATTAAAAATGTTTTAGAATTCTGAAAGAAAACATTTCAAACTATGGAGAAACTTGAGCTCATTTTGTTATGGAAAAAAACTTGAGAGTTTATTTGTTATGGAATAAACTGGCTTTATTTGTTATGGAAAAACTGGCTTTATTTGTTATGGAAAAACTGGCTTTTTTTGATATGCAAAACACAGCAGTTTATTTTACATGGCGTTTATTTTGTATGAAGAAACTTGAGTCCATTTTGTTATGGAAAAACTTGTGTTGATTTGTTATGGAAAAACTTGTGTTTATTTATTATGGAAAAACATGTGTTTATTTGTTATGGAAAAGCGTGTGTTCTTTTGTTTTGGAAAAAACAGTCTTATTTTTTATGAAGAAACATGTGTTTATTTTGTATGGTAATAAGAGCAGATTATTTGTATGGAATAACAATAGTTGGCATAATCTAAAGTTACAAATGGCTGTGAAGTTTTATTACAATTTTTGAATAAATGGCATTCAAAGATTATAGGTGATAATTTATTGTTTTCAAATTTTAATATATTATATACAAATTGTGCATGACCTGTTGGCTGTTTAAGACGTCAAACATACATTATGACAGATTAGATAAAGAGCTGGCAGTTCTTCCTATAATACTAAAAGCTAAAAACTAGATAATGTAAAGGCAATTTGCCCAAAATTTCAGCCAGATTGATCCACTATGAACCGAGAATTAAACGATTGAAATTTCGGCCTAGCCTCGATCATCATTACTAAAGTCAGTACGATAAAAAACATAGTCTCGATTATCCATTCCATGATTAAATCATGAATGAAAGTTGTGCAGCAAATAGGATCATATCCAGTAAATATTGCAGGCTAGTGATGACATCGAGACTTGATTATGGTCTTGTTTTGTTAATAAATGTCTAATTAATAATTTAGATAACATTTCAGGCCTAAAGAAACCCCTGCAATATGCAGATTTAGCTCTTGCATAATGTATGTTTAATAAATTGTTTTCTTGTTCATATTGTTAATACCTGTTATATTTGACTACATATATTATATGACATTTTCTGACATATCTTTGTATAGGTGGGGATGGTTGGCAGAATTGTCACATGCACTTTAGATCATAAGGTCTATCATTGAGTCAAGGAGTAGGGTCGCCTGTGCAACCTCATGGATTTTCTCCGGGTCCTCCGGTTTCCTCCCACTGCTAACACTACAACTAGGTCATTTCGGGACTAACATATGGTTTAATTTTATTTCAATAATTCGCTTGCGCGTAGGGGTCTTTAGCAGTGTGGGGGGGGGGGGGAACCGTAGTACCCGGAGAAAACCCATGAGGTTGGACAGGCGACCCTACTCCTTGTATTGTACAACTAGGGATTCGAAACCACGCCAGTTGACTCAATGACAGGCCTTATGATACAGCACGCAAATGCTAACCATTCGGCCATCCACCCCCCCCCCCCCTGTTTTAATTGAGTTTCTCTATTTAATGTTTAGTTTCAAACCATTGTTGGAAAACTGTTCAAATCTGTTGAGAATCAGAGAAAACCCAACACTCATTATCTAATCTAGACAGACCATTTAAACTAAAACATTTGAAACTAAACATTAAATTTGTTGTGTTAAGACCTGTACCTTCAAGCGAATTATTGAAATAAAATTGAACCATATGTTAGTCCTGAAATGACCTACTGTCACATGGACCTTAAACCCCATTTCTCATTCTTCCTTTAGTGTTTGGTACATGTAAATATTTACTACTCCAATTCTCTGGAAGTTGTATAGTTCAAACAGGTTTATCCCTGGACAGTTTCGGGGCTCTATGGAACACCAGTGATATAGTTCAAACCGGTTTATCCCTGGACAGTTTCAGGGCTCTATGGAACACCAGTGATATAGTTCAAACCGGTTTATCCCAGGACAGGCCTGGGACTCTATGGAACACTAGTTTTATATTTCAAACTGGTTAATCCAGGACAGGCCTGGGGCTCTATGGAATACTAGTTTTATATTTCAAACGGGTTTATCCCTGAATAGATACAGTTCAAATCGGTTTATCCCTGGACAGGCCTGGGGCTCTAAGGAACACTAGATGTAGTTCAAACCATATTTTCCCTGGACAGTCCTGGGGCTCTACAGAAAGTGGTTATATAGTTCAAACCGGTTTATCTCCTGGACAGGCCTGGGGCTCTAAGGAAACTGGTTATATAGTTCATGCCAGATTTTCCCTCTAAGGAACACTAGATATAGTTCATCAAACCAGATTTTCCCTGGACAGTAATGGGGCTCTAAGGAATACTAGTTATAGTGCTAATGGCTTAAGACAAATTGTGTTTATGACATTTTATGACATTAGGACATTCTATATTTGTCCCTGGGTAATGACAATATTAATGATTTATGTATTTAATTTTTGTATGTAAAATAACTGAGTAAATTGTTGTGCTGTAAACCTGCTTGTATTAGTTTGAAGATATGTTATGAAAGGCCAATCCAATTTGATTATTAGTTGTTCAGTTTCTTGATCAATAAATAACACCCTCAGTTCTTGGGTTTGATGTTTCGATAAAATTTAAAAACTGAAATATTTGCAGTTAAAAGCTTTTGAGAAGAGCAACTAAGAACTTTTTGTATAATTACTAATTAATGTTTTTCTTGAAGAAATTGGACACTAAAATTTTTAATAAGTAGGTGTTTCTGAAGAACAGAAAGGCTAGATCTAATTATTAAAGCCACCTGCTGATTTCATCAAGGTCGCTTAGATGTAAATAGGGTTAGGGGCAGGGTGCATGATTGTTGACGAGATTGTGGGTTAGGGCTAGGTCCAGGGTTAGGGTTAGTGCTATCCCTGTTTACATCTCATGACCTTTGACCAAATCTGCAGGTGGCCTTATGAAATAGATCTAACCGAACAGAAAAGCAAATTGGTGTGGCCTTAATTAGGAGTATAAATGTTTTGTTAAAGTAAATGAACAAGGTACGATAGATGTTGTTTGAATGAGATTTATAATAAGGCTGTATTTATTTATCATCCACATTGATATTGTAGTAATTAAAATACATATTTGACGTCATCCTTTGATACTGGCGAACGATTATTTATAATCAATAAAATAATTGGATTTTCGTGACGATTTCATGTTTGTATTTTAAGCTGTTTAATGGTCTGGAGTAAGACATTCCTTAATATGACACCCTCGTTCAGTATCAATATGTGAGCTGCTCCCACAAAACCAGGCTCTTGGTCCCACAAAACCAGGGTCTTGGTCCCACAAAACCAGGCTCTTGGTCCCACAAAATCAGGCTCTTGGTCTCTCAAAACCAGACTCTTGGTCTCACAAAACCAGGCTCTTGGTCCCACAAAACCAGGCTCTTGGTCTCACAAAACCAGGCTCTTGGTCATTTTTATAAAAATAGAGCTGGCAGCATATTTGAATAGTCCACGGCCTAAGCTTTCCAAAAATGCAATTCTTTTTAAATTTGTCGTATCATCTGGAGTTTTCGGCTCATTCACAGCAACAAGAAGGCATACAGTTTATGCTTTTGTGCCCGTAGTACAAAATGAAGTTGTGTGACAAGCGCCTGGTTTTGTGGTGACCGGGTCACATATATTACTCAATGTCTCGTTCTCAACCATTAAACCACATGTAATTAAATATCATCCATATAGGTATATATTGTATCCCTAGTAATGAAAGAGTTAAGACTTTTTAGTGATGGAATTACCAGTATTTAAAATTTAAATGTTAATAATGGAACTATTGAAATCGTTATAATATGAAATATTTAATGGAATTATTGAAATATTTATGATATGAAATATTTGCATGTTTATATAAACTTTAATGGCATTTCACAATTGAACATAATATAACACAGAAATATTTTAATCTTTTAAGATGAAATATTGAAATATTCAAAGATGAAATATTCAAAGATGAAATATTCAAAGATGAAATATTGAAATGTTTAAAAGATGACATATCAAATGTTCAAAGATGAAATATTGAAATGGTTAAAGATGAAATATTGAAATGTTTAAAAGAGGAAATATTGAAATATTCAAAGATGAAATATTGAAATGTTTAAAAGATGAAATATTGAAATATTTATAAGATGAAATATTGAAATATTTATAAGATGAAATATTTAAATGTTTAAAAAAAGATGAAATATTGAAATGTTTATTTAATCAGTTATTAATATGTTTGTAAGATGTTGTTATATAAGAAATGTTAAAATGTTTGAAAGATATTGATGTATTAGAAATGTTTTAATGTTTGTAAGATGTTATTATATTATAAATGTTTTAATGTTTATAAGATGTTGTTATATAAGAAATGTTTGAAGGATATTGATATATTAAGAAATGTTTGTAATGTTTGTAAGATGTTATTATATAAGAAATGTTTGTAATGTTTATAGAATGCTATGTTATGATATTTGTTATTGTTACTTTATTTATTATCTGTTTATATATATATATGTATATCAAAAATATTATTAGCAAAATGTTGACACTTTTACAACCAGTCAATCTGATTAAAACACAGATCCTATTTCGTTTCGTTTTAATAGTTCAAAATTTGGTTTTACTTGTCTTTACTACACTAGAATCTGGAAGAGTTGTTATCATTGACGTGTTCTGAATGGTGTGAGGGCTTAGCCAATGAAAGGGTCTGTTACGGTGAGCTTTAGGCATGTTTTGCACGGAACTGTGGGTAATCTACTAGTAACATCAATGCTGTTTGGTTAATCAAATGTCTGACGTCATAGGGTCAAAAGCCGCTAGTACGACCTCTGACGCGACCTATTGTTACAACCTGTCAGATCTTCATGTAGTGTAGGCCATTGAAAGTATAAAAAAACGAAACGAAATATAGATTTGTATTTTAATCAGATTTTACAACCAGTAAAACTATGATGTGCCTTGGGATTATATTCAGGGTATTTGTGTGATCGACCCGTGTACATATTGGCGTGCACGTAAAAGATCCCTTGGCAGTTGGAATTCGATATAAGAGTAGGCCGTTGCGCCGCTGCCCGGGCAAAATTTCTCTCATTGCACACTGTATGGCGTACGCCCATCTTCATTAACCCAGTTTAGGAGCAGAACAGTAGGACGTTAAACCCCATTTCATTTCATTTCTTGTGTGATCGAATGGCTTAACGTGCATGCTTTAGATCAGTGGTTCTCAACCTTTTTTTACTAACAGCACACCTTGAAACACATGAAAGAATAGCGGCACACCTGGCTAAATATACATGAAAAATATTTGAATTTTACAAAATAAAAACATGGCAAGTCAGATGGCATACAACCGTAGACACAGACTAGTCATAGACACAGAGAATGGCTCAAACTAAATATAGACAAACACATCTATGAACTTAGTGTTTCGAATTTCATCATTCAAATAGCTGGCTTCTTTAGTGAGAATCACTTCTTTAGATCGTAAGATCTGTCATTAAGTTAAGTGGTATGGTTTGGATTCCCTGCTTGTACATCACAAGGAGTAGAGTCGCCTGTCCAACATCATGAAATAAAATTGAACCATATTTAAATTGTTTAAGTGCCATTTAGTAACTGGATGAGGATAACACATTAATGTTTTCTTTGTTCCATAATTTATATATTTTCATAGTACTTCTCCATCTTCATTAGCCCAGTTGGAGCAGAACAGTATGACATTAAACCTCATTTCATTTCATTTCATTTTATTGTACTACGATTGTTATTCTTTGCTTGATAAAGACAGAACTCTCGTCGAAACGTCACCGAAAATAAATCTTTCAAGTAACTTGTATTCCATATAACTGTGTCATGTGCTATTCCAATATTTACTTGTATAATCGCTTTGTCTCTTGCTACTTGCCTTCTCCTCATTAAACTGCAGTAGTACTAGCCACTGGATGATCAAGACCAAACACTATATCATCTGTTTAAAGATACATTATGGGAGATTAGATATTTAAGAGCAGGCAGTTCTCACTATAATAGTTAAAAATTAGATAATGTAAAGGGAATTTGCTGAAAATTTCAGTCAAATTGATCCACTCTGAAACAAGATTTTAGCGATTGAATTTTCAGCCTAACCTCGATCATCATTACTAAAGTCGGTAGATAAAAAACATATAGTCTCGATTATCCATTTAATGATTAAATTATGAATAGAAGTCAAACAATAAACATCGCAGGCTAGCGATGCCATCGAGAGTTGATTATGGTCTGGATAAGTTAATTAATGTCTAATTAATAATTTAGATAACATTTCAGGCCTAAAGAAAGCCCTGCAATAGGCAGATCTAGCTCTTCCATAATGTATGTTTAAAGAATAAGACACACTTTTCACTGGGTCTCCAAATAAAAAATATTTTTTGTTAAAGGTATTAATGAGTGAGGTTTCCCCCAGGTTCTCCAGTCTCTTTTCATTTTCTCCCTCTCCATTCTTCTCTCCCCCCCCCATCTCTCTCCCCTCCCCCCCCCCCCCCCCCCGCCCTACCAAGTGTGGCTTATGTAGTGGTTTATGGGGTGTAAGGTGAAGATGTTATGCCCACTGAGTGCAGCTAGTGTATTATTGTGTAATTATATATTATTAAATGTGTTGTGATATATATTGTTATAAATAAATACTGTGTATTTATATTGTTAAAATAATAAAAATACTATATTTAAATACCACAATAGTGTTATTTTGTTTTGGATTCTTTGAAGTTTTGCTTGTTCCATCCAAATGTCTAGACAATCACCGAGCCACCGTGGGAGCCACCGTGGCTTGGTGACTAGGATGTTGGCTTGCTAACCTAGAAGTCCGGTGTTTGATCCCTGCCTTAGCCGAGAAAGTTCATAAGGATTTTCCGACGTGGTTCGCCGTTGTCAGTGGTGTAGGACAGAGGGACGAAAAACCATGCTCCCATGTACATATTGTTGTGCACATAAAAGCACCCTTGACTGTTGGAATTTGAAATAGGAGTAGGGCGTAGCGCCGCTTTATAGGCAAAATTTCCCTCATAGCACACTGCATGGTGTATGCCCGTCTTTATTAGCCCACAACACTAGGATCTGGAAGAGTTGTATATTACCCGTGTTCTGGTTGGAGTGAGAGATTAGCCAATGAAATGGTGTGTTACGGCGAGTTCTTGGCGTGCGATGCACGGAACTGTGTGTTAACTACTAGAAAGGTAAACTCTGATTGATTAATCAATGTCTGGCTTCATAGGGTCAAAAACTGCTTGTATGACACCTGACGCGACATTCCAGTACAACTGGTCAGTTCTTCATGTAGTGTAGGCCATTGAAAGTATAAAAAAAAAAAAAACGAGATCTGTATTTTAATCAGATTGAATTCTCTCCCTTTCCAATAAAAAAAACATGACAGATTCAAAACAACCGAAGTCTTTTTCGTTGCTCCGCTCGGTCAGTAACTAGAAGGACCCAGGTTCCATTCTAGAGAGGTCGAGAAAGTTTGGGTTACCCTTTGTCAGTCTAGTTGATGATTAAGTCATAAAGAGAGAAATGAAATGAAATGGGGTTTAACGTCCTACTGTTCTGCTCCTAAACTGGGCTAATGAAGACAGGCATACGCCATACAGTGTGCTATGAGGGAAATTTTGCCCGAGCAGCGGCACTACGGCCTACTCTTATATTGAATTCCAACTGCCAAGGGATCTTTTACGTGCACGCCAATGAGTACACGGGACCTCGGTTTTTCGTCCCATCCGAACGACTAGACAGCTGCCCTTGTCAGGCCTTCCGTCCTGCATCACTGACAAGGGGAAACCACGCCGGAAAATCTGGATGAACTTTCTCGGCCAATGCAGGGATCGAACACCCGACCTCCAGGCTAGCGAGCCAGCGTCTTACCCACTTAGCCACGTGATCCCCCTCATAAAGAGAGAGAGAAATGGGGTTTAACATCCACTCGGGACTAACATATGGTTCAATTTCATTTCAATAATTTGCTTTGCGCGTAGTGGTCTTTTAGCTAGGTTGGACAGGCGACACTACTCCTTGTCACGTTCAAGCGGGGAATCGAAACCATCCCATTTGACTCAATGACAGACCTAGTGATTTCACGCGCACTTGTTAAACCACTAGACCATCTAACCCCCTGATTAAGTCATAAAACTGCTGTTCCGTGTATATAAGTACCACTGTACCAGATCTAGGGAGGGGTGGTGGGGGGAGGAATCTAGGGGTGAAAGTGGAAACAAAATGTCCCGTGTACAAGTTTCATTGGATGACCGAGTGATTTTATCTCCTGGCTGTTGCATTCGATAGAGCCACAAATCACAACGAAAGCTTCTGAATTGACTCAGAGTTCCTAACGTGGTCATCTTTTGGCTAAATGTTTCTCATATATGGTTGAAGTTTGAAACTTATCTTCTAATCCTAAAGGACATTTTATTCAACCCCTCCCCCATTGACTTATCCTGGACCCCCCCTCCTCTCCCAACAAGGTTAATACAGCCCTGACCATAGGCAGCCCTAAAAGTTTAAAATCAAAATAGATCATTTCAGGACTAACATATGGTTCAATTTTACTTCATTAATTTCCTTGCGCATTGGGGGTCTTTAGCAATGGGAGAAAACTGGAAGACCTGGACATGCGACCATTGTCATGTACAAGTGGGGAATCAAAACCACACGTCTTGACTCGATGACAGACCTTATGATGCGACGCGCGCGCATTAAACCTATTGATTGTGAAATAGTTAGTCTGTCTCATTTTTCATTGTATGTTTGGACCTGCCATGATTCATTCATTCATTACATTAGCAAAGTTGCTGCAAAAGAAATGAAATGAAAGGGGGTTTAACATCCTACTGTTCTGCTTCGACTGAGCTAATGAAGATGAGCATGCCATACAGTGTGTTATGCGAGACATTTTGTCTGGACAGCGGCACTACAGCCTACTCTTAAATTGAATTCCATCTGCCAAGGGATCTTTTATGTGCATGCATATGCCCGTCTTCATTAGCCCAGCATAGGAGCAGAACAGTAGGAAGTTAAACCCCATTTCATTTCATTTCATTTCATTTGTCAGGCCCTCTATACTGTGTACCACTGACAAGGGGAAACCACTCCAGAAAATCCTGATGAACTTTCTCAGCCAACACTGCTACAAATGAATAGGAAATTAAGCATACATTATGCAAGACCTAAATCTGCAAATTTAATGTGGGTCTTTCTTTAGGCCGGAAATGTTATCTAAATTATTAATTAGACATTAATTAACTTATCCAGACCATAATGACATCGCTAGCCTGCGATATTTACTGGATTAGAACCCGGTCTGCTGTTTCTGATTTAATAAAAAAACTGGATAATTGAGACTATGTTTATTATCTCCCGACTTTAGTAATGATGATCAAGGCTAGGCCCAAAATTCAATCGCTAAATTCTCGGTTCAAGGTGGATCAAATTTGACTGAAATTTTCAAAAAATTCCCTTTACATTATCTAGGTTTTAACTATTATAGTAAGAACTGCCAGCTCTTTATCTAATCTCCCATAATGTATGGGGATCATGTGGCTAAGTGGGTAAGACGCTAGCTCGCTAGTCTGGAGGTCGGGTGTTCGATCCCTGCATTGGCCGAGAAAGTTCATCCAGATTTTCCGGCATGGTTCTCCCTTGTCAGTGATGCAGGACGGAGGGGATGACAAGGAAAGCTGTCTAGTCGTTCGGATGGGACGAAAAACCGAGGTCCCGTGTACACATTGGCGTGCACGTAAAAGATCCCTTGGCAGTTGGAATTCGATATAAGAGTAGGCCGTAGTGCCGCTGTCCGGGCAAAATTTCCCTCATAGCACACTGTATGGCGTATGCCCGTCTTCATTAGCCCAGGTTAGGAGCAGAACAGTAGGACGTTAAACTCCACTTCATTTCATTTCCCATAATGTATCTTTAGATTTATGTACCTAATTCAACATCATTTCATTTCATTTAATATTGAGTAAATTAGTCTTGACTGGCAGGAACTGGTTTATTGTTGTTTTCTAAATAAAATTATCTTTTAATTAACCGTTATCTAACCTAATTAGGATATATCAAGAAACACAATTCTATTCTTATCAGATAATGTTTCTCAGTTCCAGTGTCAGAGCTAGGATATTTTGTTGGGGGTGGGGTCTATCTGCTGCAGGCTCAGATTGAAGAGTTATGAGGGGGGAGGGGGAGGGGGTAAGGGTGACTGGACTGCAGCCAAGGGTCCTATTTCTTGAAGGAGCTCTCAAATTAGTTCTAAAAAAAAATTGTGCCTTAAGTTACAATGTAAATAAATGTCATTTCTGCCAAATATACTCTTCAAAAAAAAGGTAGGGGATATTCAGAAACAATACAAAACTGTGGAAATGCACTGCTGTTTTTATTAGAGGTAACCAGTGTATGTTAATAACAGGCCAATTGCCTACACATGAACATAAACAGTTCATATGGTCGGCTTATCTGACAGCCCCATTTCATTCGCAAAGAGATACACCCTCAAAAGTGTAAATGGAAATTTTTTATTTTTGTCTTAATAATGAATAATTGCTCCACCAATCCTCAGACATTCAGCAATTCATTGTGGCATCCTCCTAATCAACCGTCCAATCACGATTTGGGGCAATCTGACCCACTCCTCTTGCAGTGCCACGGCCAATTCTTGCAGTGGGTGGGACGACACAGGAGGACGACTCTACTCCTTGTCACATACAACCGGCGAATCAGAACCACTCCAATTCATTCAATGACAGACCTTATGATACAACGCGCACGTGCTAACCATTCGGCCATCCAATCCCCCAGCCCGACTTAAATAAAGTAATTAAAGAATGAAATAATACACCAGGTATGATAACAATATTTTATTTGCTGTACAATCTGTTTTACTACACAATTGATAAACACAGATATTTATATTACATACATCATGAATGATTTAAAATTCACTTTACTGTTAATAGGTAGCCAAAACTGAAACACTATGGCTCTTGTATTAATTAATACATCGGGTAAATGAAATGAAATGAAGAGCAACGTCCTACTTTTCAGCAATGACTGGGTTAATGTAGACACGTATACAGCATATGGTGTGCTATGAGGGAAATTTTGCTTGGACAGCTGCGCTACGGCCGCAATCTCATTAAAACACAGATCCTATTTTGTTTTGTTTTTTATACATGAAGTTCAAAATTTCATTTTACTTGTCTTTACTACACCAGGATCTGGAAGAGTTGTTATATAACCTGCATCCTGGATGGAGTGAGGGATTAGCAAATGAAAAAGTCTGTTACAGCGAGTTCTGTGCACTGAACTTTGGGTAAACAACTAGAAACGTCAACACTGATTAAATAATCAATGTCTGATGTTATAAGGTCAAAGGCCGCTCGTATGACATCTGACGCGACCTTCCATTACAACTTGTCAGATCTTCATGTAATGTAGGCCATCGAAAAAAACAGAACAAAATACAGATCTGTATTTGAATTAAATTGCTACAGCCTATTCTTATATTCTTAATTTCAACTGTCCAGGAAATATATCTTTAATGTGATACCATTGTACTGCGATATCAAGTTATAACAGTTTTATTTTTTTTACATAAAAGCAAGGTGAGAATGAAATGATTTATGAATTGTATGAAAATTAAAGAAGGATTATGTTAGAGCTAAATCTGCCTTTTGCAGATCTTTATTTTGGCCTAAAAATGAAGAAGTTTGACAGAAATTTTTAAATTCCCTTTTTCATAATCTATATCTTAACTATGTATTATAGCGAGAAATGTCAGTTCTTTATATAAATCTTACATAATGCATCTTTAATATAACTATTATAGCAAGAACCACCAGCTCTTTATCTAAATCTTACATGATGAATCTTTAATAGTATTATTTACATGTTGAGCACAGGCCTGACAATATTGCATTTAGTTATACCTGACAATGTGTCAGACAGTGATGAACTTTGTAACTGACATCAATAAAAACACAAGTCTATGATTGACATAATGACAGGCACTGTATGGATAGTGTACCTGTCAATGTCCGTGACAGGTGCCATATTACCAGGCCTGTTTTAGCACTATAAATTAGGCCACTGCAATTTGATTTTCTGTTCTTTGTGAACACCTGTAAATATTTTCCTTATTTCTTTGTGAACACCAGTTAAATATTTTCCTTATTTCTTCCGGAAGAAAACTGCTTTAAATTCCAAAGGTACATAACATGTACTTAGTTGCATTGTTCAAAAGCTTTAACTACGAAATTAGTCAGTTTTAAAATTTTATACAAAACATTTTTTACATAATTCACAGAAAATCAAATTGGTTTGGCCTTACATATATGTACAGTGGACCTCTGTCAAATCTGACATCGTACTGACTGTCAAATCTGACACCGTACAGGATCCTTACAATTTCACAGAATGTCGTAGTATTCAGATGTCGGATGTGACAGATTTCACTGTATATAGGAAACCATCAACCAAATTGTATCCTTTCACACCACTAGTGATATTCTCATAAACCCCTTAGCACTTACATGTAGACCGTCCTATAAACTAGGGGTCATAGACCACCCCAAACCGCTCTATCACATGCAACGTTCACCCTGTCAAACTGTGATAAAAATAATATTTTGGTGATCAAATTTTACATCTGGATATAATTTTTGTCGTTGCGGCTGTAATTTATTTTCATGTCTTCCATCCGTTCCAATCAATTATCCGTGAATTGGATAATCAAACTGTACCTTACAAAAAAGCTAAGTATAAATAATGAAAATTTCGTCTTTTAGCGGTATTTCCATGGTTAATTCTTACATTTGCAAAGGAATAATTAAATATATGTGACATGATACTTGAGTATTCTGATCTGAAATCAATTTACCCTACATCAAGTATAACTGAGACAACCTGTTGACAGGTAGTTTTTTTACCTGTTAAGACTTAAAAATCACCTGTCGGCCACAAGTATATAGGCAAACATTTTGAGCCATGTACATGTATTAGTGTTAATCTATCTTGTATTAGTGTTGATTAGTATTTACTGTAACAGGAGTAATAAAATAATAAAGATTGAAAAGATTAAACTAATAAAGATTGAAAAGATTAAACTAATATTCAAATAATAATAAAGATTGAAAAGATTAAACGAATAATAAAGATTGAAAAGATTAAACTAATAATAAAGATTCAAAAGATTTTTAATAGTATTTACTACAGTATCTTGAAGAACGAACTGGTACCTTATTGATAGCTTCCATATAAAATCACGTGCACAGCCGTGGCACACGCAAAATGGTCTTACACGTGGAATATGGACGGCTATTCACATACATGTATCTCGGACGGTTTGGGGCGGTCTAACAAACACTAGTTTCAACGTGTTTCAGTGTGTTCAGGGGCGTACAGATATTAATACACATGTATCATGGACGGTTTGGGGCGATCTAACAAACACTAGTTTCAAAGTGTTTCAGTGTGTTCAGGGGTGTACCGGTATTATTATATCACTTTTATATAAAACTTTCATATTTCTGTCACTTAACATCCATCATGAAATTTAAGCGATTTCCATTCATTAGCAATTTCAGCATTAATTTCTACACAATTTTAAGCTTTTAAATCACCACTTCTTAGCAAATTCTGTGATCTTTTAAAACTTTCAAATTTCTGCGATAAAAACACGTAATATCCGTCAATCACATACATCATGGACTTTAAGCGATTTCCAATTCATTAGCAATTTCAGCATTTATTTCTACGCTATTTTAAATCATCGTAATTCTTTTACTTGTTATAAAACGACTGCTGTATCTAGTGTGTATCATATAATCCACAGAATGTTAACAACGAAATACGTAATATCTACCAGTCACATCATGAAATTTAAGCGATTTTTCGTTCATTAGCAATTTCAGCATTTATTTCTACACTATTTTAAATCATCGTAATTCTTTGACTTGTTATAAAACGGCTGCTGTATCTTGTATCGTATAATCCACAGAATATTAACAACGAAATAGATAACAAATAACAACGTCATGTTTTTTTTTCTTGTCCCGATAAATTAAATCATTCAACCGGACAAATCACTTCCTTCGTACATATCCATGTCATATTTTTCGGCTCGAACTCTCCGTCCACCGAAGAATCTTCCGTTTAAAGCTGCGATACCTCTTTCTACCTCTGAAAAATACAGCACATGGATATTTATAATATTGGTCAAAATTTGTATATTTTTACTAAAATCTATGAATGTCATTTGATGATTCCAGGGGTACCTTTTAAACTGTAATGTTTAATCTCTAAAATGACACAAACTAGGTCATTTTGAGACTAACATATGGTTCAACTTTATTTCAATAATTTGCTTGCGCGTAAAGGTCATTTTGGGACTAACATATGGTTCAACTTTATTTCAGTAATTCACTTGAGCGTAAAGGTCTTTAGTGGTGGGAGGAAACCAGAGGACACTGAGAAAACCCATGAGGTTGAACAGGCGACCCTTCTCCTTTTCACATTCCAGCATGGAATTGAAACCACGTCACAGGACTCAATTACAGACCTTGCGATTGGACGCGCACTTGTTAAAACCACTAGATCATCGCCCCCGCTACCTATTCAGTATTCGCAGAGAGATGATGAATTCGGTATGTAGGATATAGTCAAAACCAACCACCATCACCTATGATTTTTGCTGAAATTGAGACCACCCTCCCTCCCAACTCTACCAAATATGGAGACAATCTCACCTTCTTGTTGCGTAAATTCAACAAATATTTTTACGATAATTTCTGCATCGTCGTCTTCACTCTGTTTTTCTTGATAAATAATAACACGATTTACGATTCCAAATTTACCACATTCGTCCGTAACTTCTGTTTCTAACTCATCATCTAAATCTTCAGGTCCAACCATATTACGTAACACCATTACACGACACTTAAATAATAATAAAAAGAAAAACGAATTAATTACTCAACACCTCTCACTGTAACCCAGCTATCATTTAATCTTGTGTATTTAGCACTAATTTCTTTCACATTCATTTAATATCAAATCTTTGTTTAAAAATGTGTAAAAATCGTTTAAAATCACCCAAAATCATCTAATTTGTACTTATGTCCAGATTAAATGAATGTGAAAGAAATTAGTGCTAGATACACAAGATTAATTAAACATACATTATGCAAGAGCTAAATCTGTCTATTGCAGGTCTTTCTTTAGGCCTGAAATGTTATGTAAATTATTAATTAGACATTAATTAACTTATCCAGACCATAATCAACTCTAGATGGCATCGCTAGCCTGCGATCTTAAGTGGATTGTGAGCCGATTTACTGCATAACTTTCCTTCTCGATTAAACAATTAAATAGATAATCGAGACTATGCTGTTTATCGTACTGACTTTAGTAATGATGACCGAGGCTAGGCAGAAATTTCATTCGCTTAGTTTTCGGTTCATAGTGGATCAATTTGAATGAAATTTTCAGCAAATTGCCTTTACGTTATCTAGTTTTTAACTATTATAGTGAGAACTGCCAACTCGTTATCGAATCTCCCATAATGTATCTTTAAATGATACCCAGGTTACAGTGTCTAGTGAAAGTAAACAGTTGTAAACCCAACACTCATTATCGAGTCTGGAGGGACCATTTTAAACTATATGCCAATATTTGTCCACGATTCTCAATGTATTTTAACAAATGGCCAGCAATGGTTTGAAACTATCATTAAATACAGTAACTCCAGCTAAAACAGCACAACTACACATACACCTACACAATACTTGTTTTGGGTTTAGCTGCAAGGGATCCACATTATTGCTCTTTAAGCTCAATCAACACGTTATTTTGGGACTAACATGACCAATTGGGAAATAAACAGAGCAGATTGAATGGTCAATATTAATTTCAATATTTCTATCAAACATTAGACATCAATCAAATGCAATATATAAATAAAAGAGCAATGACCCATACAATTATTTGAACACCTACGAGAGAGAGAGAGAGAGAGAGAGAGAGAGAGAGAGGTCATTTCGGGACTAACATATGGTTCAATTTTATTTCAATTATTTACTATACGTAAGTGTGTGTTTGAAATCATGCGATTTGACTCTACGACAGATCTTACGACGTAAAGCCCAAAAGAGAGACCATCCGTCCACCTAACCCCCCCTCTTTCAACATATATATTATATAAACCACTTACCTCAGAGTTTCTCATGAGTTTTTGCATGACCATATGACGTGCGTTTGTTCCACTGATTTTCATATTTTCTTGTTGATCTAACGTCTGTGGTAAGTCACTCTCATCTTTCTTCTTCTTGTCATTCTCTTCAGATTTCTCCCGAGCTGTTGATTGAAAACCACAGATAACATTAACTATTTATAAAAAAACAAATTTATATGGAAAACAATCACTTGGTTTATACACATATAGCACAACGTTTCGACAAGTATTCTCTTATCATTTCCACGTACAAACGATTTAAAATTATCTAAAATTCATTCCTATTGTTCAAGTTTGTATTTTAGAAAATTTAGAGTTTTGATAATATTATTCTGATAACTACAATATTACGAAAGATGAATCTTAAATCAGGTTTAAAAAAGCGAGAGAGAGAGAGATAGAGAGAGAGAAATCGACACAAACTAGGTCATTTCGGTACTAACATATGTTTCTATTTTATTTCAATAATTCGTTTGCGCGTAACAGACTTTTAGTGGTGGCAGGAAACTAGGACCTGGAGAAAACCGACGAGGTTGAGCATGCGAACCTACTCCTTGACATGTACAACTCAGAATCGAAATCACGTCAGTTGACTCAATGACAGACCTTATGATACAACGCGCATGCGCTAACCATTTGGCCATCTAATCCTCCGTAAAAATAGATGTCATTTTTTCAGAAATTACCAAATTCAATATTCAGATTCTTTCCGATTCTGTGCTCCTAACCTATGGAATTCCTTACTCAGTATACATAAAAAGAAAATCTTGACAAAAACTTCTATCATAGCACACTGGATGGTGTATGCCTATTTTGATTAACCCATTTGGTGCAGAAAAGCAGGGTGATAAACCCTGTTTTTGTGTCATTTTTTTATATTTTTACTATAAACTTACCAAAAGGACTGTCTTGACTTGGTGGAGGCATGGGAGGTAGTGGGACATTGTGTAGAGACATTGGCATATTGGGCATACCACCCATTCCGGGCATCGACATCATACCGGGCATACTGACAGGAGCTGGCATACCCATACCCAACGTTGGCACGACGGCAACTCCTGGTTGTCCGATCTGTGTAGGCACGAGGACAGATGGTGGAGGAATAGCGTCTGGTGGAGCCACTTGTTGGAACTTAGAGGTGGCACCTGCGGCTGGACTGGTGGATGCTGGCTGAAACAGAGAAAGTGTCAATTATAGTGAAGTTATTAACTGGGTTTCGATTTATATATACGAGTTATATTTTGGCAAAGAGAGAAAAATGTGGATTAACTCGTACATTGAGGTATTAGGCTAATGTCCACTTGAAATAAACTAGTACCCCCACCCCCCTTGATTATATATATATTAGAGAGAGAGAGAGAGGGGGGGGAGGGTTTAACCTCCACTCCACACAAACCAGGTCATTTCGGGACTAACACATGGTTCAATTTTATTTCAATAATTCGTTTGCGTGTAGGGGTCTTTAGCAGTGGGAGGAAACCAGAGGACCCGGAGGAAACCACGAGAGTAGACAGGCGACCCTACTCCTTGTCACGTACAACCGGGGATTCGAAACCACGCCAGTTGACACAATGACAGACCTTATGATACATCACCCCCACCCCGCCCCACTGATATAAGAATACTTACAATAGGTAAACCTGTAACTTGACTGATCTGTTGTTGTACATCCATGGCTGTTATTTTGGCTGTTACAGCAGCTGCTGCTACGGCTGCAGCTGTAGGCATGCTACCAGGTCCGATGGGTACGTCTAAAGCATCAGGTGGTGTTATCGCCTGTGATACAAACAGATTCAGTTGAAAACATTGAAACAAAATAGTATTAAGTACAGGAGTACTACACGACACACAAAGAATAACAATCACAACATCTTATATAATATGAACCAAAATGTTAAAACAGGCTAAAATATGTTTTTTTAAAAAAAAGAAAAAAAAAAAGGAATATTTTTAGCCTATTTTAACATTTTTGTTTATATATCGTAAACATTGACTCTCAACCTATTTTGATGTGACAGGTCACATATATCAGATCAGGTGAATAGATCCGGGGGCTGGCTGTAAGCCTGCACTGTTCTATAGTGATACAGGCTTTACTCAATATGAAAACAAAGGGGGTGCCCGATAATCAGTCCGGAACGTCCCGAATTGACAAAATTGCATTCAAGTGATATGAAATTCAGCCTCGTCACAGTTCTGCCAGTCCCGATAGCTGAGGTGTTGTGAGTAGAATTGTGACCTATTTTAAAAAATATGTTTCAGCTGTCATGATTGGTTGAGATTTTTTAATGCAATCTGCACATAGGTTGTACTCCGAAATTCTTCTTTTCATTCAATTGACCCGATTTTTGGAATTGAGAGAATTTAATTCCGGAACATTCGGTCGAGTTTCCCCAAATTAACAATAAGGGAAACAATCCAAAAAACAGGGAAATATTTCCCAAATATAACAAGTTCAAAACTAGCGCAAACAGACTGATTTTCTTAATTACCAACATACAAAATGCCTCCATAAAAGACCGTATGACTAGAATCGACAGAATCGACTTAGCCACCGTTGCTTGCCTGATATAAGTGAGGAAACCCATAAATGTAAAACCCAACCAATACAAGGGAAGTAACTTACCTTGCCAACACGAAGATATTGTCCTCCTAAATCAAACAGATTCATGGAAGCGACAGCGTCAGCAGCTGCCTGTTGAGTTGAATATTCAATGAAACCAAAACCCCTGAAAAAAACCCCCAACAGAATTTAACATCAACATTAACAAGAAGACTTGGTCATCAATATACCTGCACACTTGGCTCCCAGTCAACAAGAAATGGTTAAAAACAGTGCTGGATTTAACTAATAATGAGGTTCCTCCCAATAAACCACCCTCACGACTGTAGGGAGATTAAAGTTTGTTTTAAACACATATGAGGAAAGCTGAGGATAATGACGGATGATTAAGACTACAGTGATTGTAAGAAAGGTTTACGACAGTGTCAAAAATATACAACGTGGTCAGAAATGAAATGGGGTTTAACGTCCTACTGTCCTGCTCCGACAGGGCTAATGAAGACGGGCATACGCCATACAGTGTGCTATGAGGGGAATTTTGCCTGTGCAGCGGCACTTTGGTCTACTCTTATATCAAGGGATATTTTATGTGCACGCTAATGTGTAAATGGGAACTCAGTTTTCCGTACCATCCTAACAACTAGACAGATGTCCTTGTCAGGCCCTCCTACATCTTGAGACCCTAAGCTCCAGCATGCCAAGCCTATAGGTAAATCTGGCACCGGTTGAACACCTAGATCTTACTATAGATATTTGATAGAGGTAATATTGTTGCCTTACTTGTGTTTGCCTGGTTTTGTTGGATCTAAAGGTATATTAACAGTTATAATGGTACCAAAAGCTTCAAAAACACTGGAAAAAAAAAAAAAAAATTATAATATATTTTAAACATACAAGAACTAAATCTGCCTATTGCAGGTCTTTTTTTTAGGCTTGAAATATTATCTAAATTATTAATTAGACATTAATTAACTTATCCAGACCATAATCAACTCTGAATACCATCTGTAATATTTAGTGGATTGGGATACATCTTTAAAAATAATTAAACGTTAAAATGGATATACAAGACTTCGTTTTTTATTGCACCAACTTTAGTAATGACGATCGAGGCTAGCCTAAAATTCAAAAGCTAATATCTTAGTTTACAGTGGAGCAATTTGAGTGAAATTTTCAGCATATTCTATTTAGGTTATCTATTTTTTAACTATTATAGCAAGAACTGTCAACTCTTTATCTAATCTTCCATAATGCCCCATTAAGCGGAATTGGGTAAATGAAATTAGGTTTACTTCCTATTCTTATATCCAATTCCAACTGTCAAGCGTTCTTCTATGTGCAAGTCTATCTGTACACAAGACCTTGATTTTTTCTCCCATTCGAACGACTAGACCCTGACCATGTCAGGCCCTCCATCCTGTACCCACTAACAAGGGGAAGGCCCGAGAAGCCACGCTGGAAAATCTTGGGGAACACCCAGGGGATCAACACCGGGATCGAACCCTGGAACTCCTGGTTAGTGAGTCTGTGCCTTACTCATCAAGCCCCTGCTGCTCCCAAGCACTGGATCGACTCCAAAAATGTTCAAATGATTTGCCCAAATGCATGTAACACTAAACTCACCTTTTAATGTCAACTTCCGATAAATCATGATGAATTGATGCAATATAAATACGATTGTACGATTTGGATTCTTCTGCAAGCTGTTCTATGATTGGTTGAGCTTGGGGCATGTTGCTAGGACGACCAACTTTAATATTTCGTCCACCGATCATAACACCATTCATCTGTTCTAGCGCCAATTGAGCTGCTTCTGGGATTTCATATTCAATAAAGGAGAAGCCCTTGTGTTTGTTTGTAATCGGGTCCCACGACAGATTGACACTTTTAATCGGACCAAAAGGCGAGAAGGCCTGTTTAATTGTGTCTTCCTTAATTTCAAAATTAATACTGCCGATATAAATCCTGAAAACAAGAAGAGAAATTATAAAGTTGTGAGAACAATCACAAAAAAAATATCGAGGGTTATATAAATCATTATAATAATCAGTAACTATAAACTATTGTAGATAGGAACTATCGAGTGTAGAAACTATCAAGTATTATAATTCATTATAATAATCAGTAACTATAAACTATTGTAGATAGGAACTATCGAGTGTAGAAACTATCAAGTATTATAATTCATTATAATAATCAGTAACTATAATCTAGTGTAGATAGGAACTATCGAGGGTTATATAAATCATTATAATAATCAGTAACTATAAACTATTGTAGATAGGAAATATCGAGTGTAGAAACTATCAAGTATTATAATTCATTATAATAATCAGTAACTATAAACTGGTGTAAATAGAAACTATCAAGTGTAGACACTATCGAGTGTAGAAACTATTGAGTGTTATACAAATCATTATAATAATCAGTAACTATAAACTATTATAGATAAGAACTATCAAACTTAGTATAAATCATTATAATAAATCAGTAACTATAAACTATTATAGATAGGAACTATCAAACTTAGTATAAATCATTATAATAAATCAGTAACTATAAACTAGTGTAGATAGAAACTATCAAGTGTTCATCAAGCATTATTATAATAGTAACTAATTTATTACCTGCACATTAAAGCCAGAGCTTGCTGTCTTTGAACTGTTGTCTGGAAATTCTGCATTTGCTATGAAAAATAACAAAATATTCTAATAATACTTATTTTCTCGATTTTCAAATAATACTTATTTTCTCGATTTTTTTTTAAAACAAATATCTTGTAAAGTTCATGAAAACCAGGCAAATTTCATTATTTAAATACAGCATTGTCAGAAGTCCCAGACCTCTACAACATGAAGATCTGATCCGACGTAGTGGGAGGACGCGTCAGGGGTCATATGAGCGGCTTTTGACCCTATGACATCAGACATTGGATTAACCAATCAGCGTTGATGTTTCTAGTAGGATACCCACAGTTCTGTGCATCGCATGCCAAGAACTCGCTGCAACAAACTGTTTCATTGGCTAATCTCTTACATCAACTAGAAGGCAGTTTATATAACAACTCTTACAGATCCTAGTGTAATAAATACCAGTAAAAAAAAATTTTAAACAGTATAAAACGAAACTAGATAGGAAATATTTTTTATTCTGATATACTTCCAACACCTTTATTTTTATAATATTGGTACTTCAAAATGTTCTAGAATTTGATTTGCAGCAGGAAAAAAGTTAATATTGGGGGCTCATTAACCGATAATGATTGTGATCATTTTAAGTGATTGTAGTGACATAGCGATTATTCACTGCTGATCAGTTTGGCTAGAAAAATGCAATTTAAATCTATCTGATTTTAGTGTACTATAGTCTATTTCTGTAAAGATAATTACCAAACATAATTATCTGATTATATTTACCTGGTGCTGATGTGCTATAGTCTGTTTCACTAAAACACTTTTAATACTCTGTTCCATGGCATATTTCTTGGCTTTCTGAATTAATTCTTGTTGCGATGAACTGAGGCGTGGTAGACTGAAGGGCTTTGTGTCTCGCTTGGCGCCAGGTCCCTCTAGTAACATACCATACTGATCCGCTTGACTGGGTACTTCTCCGATGTAATCTTCCGCTAAAAAAAAACAATAAAAATATTATTAAAATCGTGAATGCATTCCTTTCTTTGTTGATCTCAGTTGTCTCCCCCTATATTATGGACCCAGGAGTTATTGGCCCTGGCTAAAGGGACAATTAGGAGAGTTGAAGCTCTAGCTGTTGTCTATTTTGAAAACTTTGGTGAATTAAGATTGCAGGAGAGACCGAAGAGTAAGGGGTCTTAGTGTGCAGTGAAGGAGGGGAGGGTATTAATAATAGGGGTTTTACTGTAGCTGTCAACCCATGCAGGCACTGCCCACAAAGAATATTAAAACACCCACATTAGTCTTCAGAGATTCATCCATGACATGATTCAACAGATTTAAAAAAATATAAAATAGAAGTAGAGGGCTAGGGGAACAAACTGAGATCTTGTTGACAAAATAAAAGTAGAGCTCAATCATCCAATCAAAATCATTCATAAAAAAAAAACAGCCTACAATTTCTAAAGCTTCACATGAAACAAAGTTTACCCCTGTTTGGTTGTTTTATGGCCCCTGTTAAGCCCTACTTGGGCTGTAATTTTATAAGAAGCCATCTTAAAGGGCAGGCTGGTTACATATTAGCACTGCTTTAACCAATTCATATGAAAAACACAGAAAGAAGAAGAAAAAAGAACAACATTATTGATATGTTCTGACATGATAGCTTGTGTTTTTCTTAAAACCAAAAAAAAATATATATTTTTTTCTCGAAACCTGAAAAAAAAAGATCTAAAAACAAGAAAACATATCTCAACAAGTCAATTACACCATTTTCTAACTAAACAATGAATGTAGTAGGTCTTAAAACAATTGTAAGGTTGATAAATTCCCTACAATAAGGTTGATAATTCCCTACAATCATACATTCAATAATAAGAGTACCTTTTCCCAGGATATTGAACAGATTATAAGACTAATATCTATCTGATTATAATAGTTACAGATCTAGATTTCATTTCGTTTTTTTATACTTTCGATGGCTTCTACTACATGAAGATCTGACCGGTTGTAGTGTAAGGTTGCGTCAGAGATTTGATTAACCAATATGCATTGATGTTTCTAGTAGGATACCCACAGTCTTATGTGTAGCACGCCAAGAACTTGCTACAACAGACTGTTTCATTGGCTAATCCCTCACATCAACCAGAACGTAGGTTATATAACAACTCTTCCAGATTCTATTGTAGTGACGGCAAATACATCGAAAATTTGAACTATAAAAAAAAAAAACGCAACGAAATAGGATCTTTGTTTTAATCAGATTGGCTTCATATTTGAACAATAGATAGTTTAAACAACTTATAAGGACGAAGAATTGAAAACAAAATCCCCAGAATTGAACAACAAGCAAAGGAATTCAAAAAGGTACTTCAATCATACGAATGGTCTTAGTTAAGACTAGTTCAAATACCTAGATTGTTTATTCAAACTTTTATATTCAGTGAATCGCTGAAGTCGGCTATCAAATAATTCCAGATAGATTTTGACTCATTTCATTACTATAGTTTGTTTTGTCTAGTTCTCGTGTGCAGATTTCCTGCATTAAGTAGTGTAATAAAAGGGTATATATTTACTTTTGTACCGTATTTCAATTTATGCTTGTCACTTTTGATTTTTTTTGTCAATTCTACATGTCGTATCCAACCATTGCATAAACAAATCTGATTAAATACACAATCCTGCACCCCAACGCAAAAAATGAGATTAAGATATAATATATATAATGGAATGCTACTATTAGGATTTCTATAGGCTACATGTAGGTATTCACTCTAAATATGTAATTCCTAAAACTCTCCAATTCAAGGGATAAAATATTTGATGTCTTTTTCTGCAATATAAAACAAAACCTGAAACTAGATGAAAATATTTATGGCAAAGTCATTGGATATTAACAAATTACGCAACAAAACACTGGTAAGAGGCAATCAAACAATTAACGCAGACGTGGATCAAATACAATGACTTTGATATCTAATAACCGACACCCTGACTGCATTAGCCGTCTGTTTCAGAACGACATGTCAACACAGCTTGATAACAATACGCAACGCTCACCAAATTTATAGCAGCACTTGATTAAAAGTCAGGGGCTTTAAGAGTGATGAAATCTTAAAACTTAAGTATTTTAAGAACAATGTATTTTCACTGGTTAAAGGCATACTAATATGATATTAATTTTCAGCCAATGAAAATGCTGAATTCTTAAAACCTTTAAGTTTAAGTATTAATCGTGAATAAGGCCCATGACAAGTATCAAATGAAAATTGAAAGTAGATAAACGAAAGTAAAATATCCATACAAATTCAAGAGATCATCAATCACAGACAATTTTGAACAAATCCCTAACAAACTGATCTTAATTATTTAACACCATCAAATCTTTTTGTGAACTCTCGGCAAAATACAAACATTAAAAAATGGCGATATGATTACACGATGGTTTTCTTAGGTAAATCTGATTCTGTTTAACCTGATCTTCCGAGACAATACAAGCTGAAAATAGAGAGCAGACAGGGCAAGGTGTTTAGTTGTATTTAAATGAAATGTTCAGTCCTATTGTTCGCATCTTTATTTAGAAAATTTAGTGTTTTGATAATATTCTTCTTGCTTAGTGTTTAATGCATGATGGGGCCCAGTTGACCCAAAATTATCCCTAAAAATGAATCAATCACAAAATTCGTAGAATTTGAAAGAAATTTGTTTGTTTTGATATTATCTATTGTTGATGTATCAATTATGTTTGTTTTCTTAATCAAAGTATTTTTTGTTTTTTTTGTTTTACATCCATGGGCCAACTCAAACTTCAATTTATGTCATTAATAGTAGCCATGAGGCAATCATTCATTGGCTGCTTGCTTCTCTTGACAAAACAAGCTGAAAATACAGAACAGATACACATACGGGATAAACAACTCTTGCCCTAGAGAACTTAGCGAAAATATATCTATTCTTAAAACAATATTTTCATGCAGAAAATCAAATCAGTAAAAACGAAGCCTATTTTGCTACAAATTGTAGTATGTAAAATATATTTTTTGAATTTTGGGTAAAAAAAGGAAAAAGAACAACAATCTATGATAAGATGGCGACAAGTTCTAATTGAACTTTTACAAAGCTTGTTTCTCGAGAGTTGAGACTAGGCCTGTTCATTACGACTTCCTCCTTGATGACAAAACAAGCTGAAAATATAGAATAGAGGAAAAGGGAATATATTAATTGTAGTCTGTATTCAAGTGTATTGTGCTGTGTTGGTATGTTCCTTTGTTTTCTATTTGCTTATGTTTTTAATCTGTTTTGTTTTTTTTAAATTTAAATCATTTATTTTTATTCAACTCTCGTAATAATTAAAGTCCCTGAACATCATTTGATGAATTGTGAATTCCCTTCAAAGTCTCAATAATGTGAAAGCTGAATCCCTTAAACATACATTATGCAAGAGCTAAATCTGCCTATTGCAGGTCTTTCTTTAGGCCTGAAATGTTTTCTAAATTATTAATTAGACATTAATTAACTTATCCAGGCCATAATCATTAAATAGATTAGACCAGTTCAGCCATATTTTGATTTAAGCTAAAAATGGAGGAGCAAGACTTAGCTTTGAACAACCAGTATGGTGGTTGAAATTATTGCACACATCTTGACAAACCTTCAAATGCTAATATCTTCGCTCGCAATAGAGTAATTTAAATGAAATTTTCAAATCATTCATTTTACATTATCTATTTTCGAACTATTATAGCAAGAATGACTAGCTCTAAATCTTACATAAGGTATCTTTAAAGGAATATCAGTTTAAATATGATTAAATTCTATTTAGTAATTAAAAAGATATGAATATTATCAACATTTTGCATCCACTGACGACGACATAAACAAGATATGGCAGTCCTTCACGTTTAAGGTGCTCTTTCGCTCCTGCTCTTCTCGACTTTGATTCGCAGAGTCATTAAAGACTGTCGCATATTAGATAAATCGTTTTCCTAAATATGGAGATTAATAAACTACTTTCAGTTTTTGTTTATTTTTAAACTGCATACATTCGAGCTATAAGTTTCCATGATGGAAATTCAAACGCTACCATATTCACCAAACAGATCATCCTCGTTTTCATTCTGATATCGAATGATAATCTAAGGCATTATCTTCCATAAGAACATATACACTTGTAAAGAGAATATTAAACAAGACTAAAGCATAAATACAATTGGTGTCTCCTTAATCCAGGAAAACGTAGAATTACTCTCGCAGTATAATGAAGCATAATTTCATAAACATGAACGACTGGGGACTGGATATGGTGAGTGTAAGCTATAATCTAAAAACTTTTGATCAGCCTCTTAAACTTTGTTTGAATATATGCCAGGAGATTATCTACCAAAGTAATTTTCGATTTATTTTCTTGACTAAAGGACAAGAGCAGTTTTTAGCATGAATTAATGAAGATGTGTAAAATCAGATATTGTATGAAAAATACAAATAATGCAAAGAGACTTTAATTTATGATATTAATGATTCTGAATCGACAGCCTTAAGCAATTTATTTCAAATATATATTTTTTTTTGGGATGTTTTTCATCTCTAATTGTTGATTCTAATGTAATGTAATAAAGAACTATCAAAGACAAGTTTGCGCTGAATTCCAACCAATGTTTACATAAGATACCGTACTGTTGTAACTTCCAGGGCTATGGTCTGTCTCTAGTTTAGAAAACTGAAATTATACACAGAGAAAAAAAAAAGACCAATGTTAAAATTCTCTTTTAAGAAATCAAAGGTAAAAAACAACATGTTTGCCTAAATTTACTCTAAAAGCTAATAATTTGCCAACTCTGTTAAAATTTATTCCAGTTCCAACAAGAAAAATGATCATTGAATGTGTTGACAAGAGTCCATCTTTGACCAACCAACGAAACAGGGAAATAAAGCACCTGTGTCACACACTACATCTAGGATATCATTTACTGTCTGAACCATCGTAAATTTAAAACGGGTTTCTTCGATTATGAACAAGTTAAGTAGTTTGTTCATAATCGAAGAAATCCGTTTAAAATTTACAATGGTTCAGATGGTAGTTATTTTAGCAGCTTCTAGAGCAGTGTTGAGTAATTAATTAGTCTGTTAATTACTCAACACCTTTTGAGAAATATAAACCAAGTCATTATGTAATCTAGACAGACCCTTTAAACTACACAACTGTAGAAACCCGATGGTTTTCTATGATTCTAAAACAGATTTGAACAGTTTTCCAACAATGGTTTGAAATTAAACATTAAATACAGAAACTCCTGCTAAAGCAACACAACTAAATGATACCTGAGTTGTAGTGACAGATACAAATTAAAACCTGTTATATTTTTCCAGCCTAGACTTATGGTGTTTTGGAGGTTTTTCAGTGTTTTTTGACATTATTCATTTCATGTGCCAGTAGTAGTGTCTGACATTTTATCAGGTGGAACAAAAAACATTATTTTCGGGTCTCTAGTATAGTCAGTCTTCCATTTTCTCTTTCAAATGCGTTTTTGGGTCTACAACTATTTTATACTTTATAAATCAAGCACAAGCATGGCAACATTTCAATATATAATGTTTGTTTAAATTAATCTTAAATAATACTGAATCTTAATTATAACAAGTCATCTACCCCCCATATTCAAACATTAATTATACATGAATATCAGGATAACAATGTGTTCTCTCCCCATTACATATTTCTGTATTTTAAAACTTCACGCCCCCGATGTCTTCTAGTATTATGTAATCTATAAAGAATGTAAATAACAAGTTGAGCAACATCACTGAAAGTACAAACAGAAAAGGAAAATCTTTTAAATATAAATTGTATACGCATGTAAAATAAGTAATCTAATGACATACAAAATAGAAATGACAAGCAAGATATTCAAGAAATATCATTACCCAATATTGGTAGAATTCATTTTATTACATTGCCTTTTTATTAAAATAAACATACATGTACATTATTATATTACAAAAACATACATAAATACTGTCAAGTCATTTTGGCAAAACTCAATGAATGAAATGGGAATTAACGTCCACTCGACACAAACTATGTCATTTCGGGACTAACATGGTTCAATTTCATTTCAATAATTCCCTTGCGCGTAGTGATATTTAGCAGTGGTATGAAACCAGAGGACCTGGAGAAAGCGAAGTAGGTTGGACAGGTGACCTTATAAGTTGTCACGTACAAGTGGGGAATGGAAACCATGCCAGTTGACTCAATGACAGACCCTACGATTTCACCCACTAGGCCAAACAACTCCCTTTCATTTTGCGAGAGAGAAATAGGGTTTAACGTCCACTCGACACAAACTAGGTCATTTTGGGACTAACTCATGGTTCATTTTTTATTTCAATACCGGAGAAAACCCATGAAGTTGGATAGATGATCCTACTCCTTGTCACGTACATGTACAACCGGGGAATCCCTTTCATTAATCATTAACAAAAAAAGACCCTACAAAAACGTATGTATTTTTAAAAGACAACCAACAGAGTTTTATTTATTAAATTTTTGTAATTTTTTTTAATCTTATTTCAATCACGAACCCTTTATGAGTTTTGCCAAAAGTCTTTTCTGATGTACACAACCATTTTATGAAGTTTATTATATTGATAATATTAGTTTATAAATCAACTACTGGTCACGTGAACATCCAAGGAATGGCTTTAGTTTAAAACAAACACACTCTCAATCATCAATAATCACATTTTGAAAACATATATTTGATTGAATAAAACATTTAAATAAAACATAAAGCAAAACTGAAAAGGAATTTCTTCATTTTTCATTAGCTATCCAATCTTTACAATTTCTCAATGACGGGTAGAAATAAAATTCAGTTGAACATGTATGAGAAGCCAATTGAAAAATTGATAATTAAAAGATTTAAAAAGAACACAGTCTTTTCATTGCCTAATATTAATAGCAAATTGCTGCATTCTTAAACCTCTTGATGAATAAGGCCCGAGGCCCTTGTTTTGTTGTTTAAATCATAAGCATTCCGCAAGCAGGGTCAGCTTAATTAAAATCAGGCCTATTGGCTTGGAGAACTCTGGATCGGAGGCGGTCTAGCACTGTATATGACACCATATCTGGAGTGTGGGTTAGGGTTAGGACCGCAGATTTTGTCAAGGCCTTGATATATAAACAGGGCTAACACTAACCCTAAACCAAATCCTGGACCTGAAACTAACCCATAGTCCACATATGATGTCATTCGTGCTAGAATGTCTTCGATCTACCATTTCTATTGTAGGATACGGGTTATGCAGGGCCTCTTCATCTGTTATACACGCATAGAAATTTTTATAAACACTACTAAACTGACAAGAGAAAAACGACAGAACAGATAATACATACCGGTATCATATTTCATCCTTGTTGAAGCTGGTAAAGGGGGCATTCCAAGACCAGGGGGAATTCCCATAAACATGGAATTTGATTGGCTCTTGGGTACTGGGGGCATTCCTAATCCTGGTGGGGGGATAGACTTAGGTGAAGGAAATCCAAGTGACATAACGTTTTGACTGCTGCTGGTTAATGATGCTCTTCCCCTCTCTCTAGTGTGACCTTCTTTACGACTGGATTAAGAAAGAAGGCTTTAACTTTGATTTCTCGTCTAAAAATCTGGAAATCTGATCACTGGCGCCTGCTACTGTAGGGTGTTGTTCTAATGGAATAATTTTCTTCTCATCAACGGTGGCTAAAATACAAATAAATATTTATGTACTGAATATTTATTTCTTAAGAGATACTAAATTTCTTTTCGTCTTATATCGACGAGTGACGTAAATTTCTGAGTTACCCTACATTTAGATTTCAATGGCTTCTACCAAACTGTTTAGAAGAAGGGGACATATTTTTAACAGCATGTTGTGTCGGACATACTGACTCTAGCGAGGTAAACAAGGTCTTACTTTCTCATTTAAATGTTCCTTTACATTGTAGTGTACAGGCTTTCACAGGGGCTGACATGCGACTGTTTAGCAGTGAAAAGTAGCCCAGTAAAATTGACTGGGAATCAAAACTTTTTCGACACGGATTCAATAGGAGGGTTCATGAATGTACAGGGCGAGTGTAATGAGACCTATGTTCAGAGCTGAACTAGATGGGGATCAATCGTGGCCATCCCCCTGGTAGGGGTTAAAGGTCACGTGACTTTAGCGTGAAATTGGACAGCCGGCGGCTGAAATATAGCCCACTTCAATCTACAATTCTGAATTACTATTTTATGTAATTGTATTACTAGCAATTGTACTGTATTCGTTTAATATTATCAATCTCAATATCTGCAAAGATTCAGGCTAAAAAATTATCGAAATGTAAACGAAATTGTTTATTTACATGAGACACTTGTGGGAAAATACCACTCTGACGGGATTTTCCATTGCTACGGCTCACTTCATTGGTGAATCTGCACCTTAGTTTCCGGTGGATTTTGATATAGAACCAATCAAACAATTGATAACATTTTTGTGATTATTATGTTTTGTGATATCCCGAGATCCGACAATTACAGTCGTAGAAAACAGGATTTATCTGTTTTGATGACTGAAATTTGCTAAATTTCGACTAAATATAGCCTACTTTTTTTGTGGTATCATCCAGATTATAAATATTTGACATATTATCTTTCATATTAACGTGCGGATTTCAGTTTTAAAATTGATACTAGCGATTCTGAAGGGAAAATACCGCTTATGACGTCATTCAGATATGACTGAAAAGCACTTATTTTGGTGTGATGCCACGCATTGACTGGTATAGAGCATTTTGATTACATTATTGACGTCGATCTTGGATTTTAAAATTCCATAACTTTGGTTTTAATTAGAATATTTTGATAAAATAAAAAAATTGGGGTAGCATTTTATGTATATTTTCACAAAATATTTAAAAAAAATTTTTTTCTGGCATTTGAAACTTTGACCTGAAACCCCTACCCCTGGCATGGAAAAATTGTCTACAAACTGTGGGATGCTCAACAAACTTAAATTCATGGTGGAAAATATGAAACCAGTAAGAAAGGCAACTTTACAACCAATATTAAAGATGGTTGGGGTCTGACCTACGGCAAAGGCGTTAAGCCAAATATTAAGCGTGTCATGAATACACAACAAAATCCCTATCTCTGAACCAAACAAAACATGGCGGCCGATCTTTCAATATTCATGGTTTTGTAAAGACTTGAACAGTAGTCACCAAGACGCTTGATTAACATCCAAATTTTAAAGCTAGGATGTTTCAAAACTACAACTGTTTGAAAAATAAAGCTTTTTTTAAAAGAAATAATGGTTAAATTTTGATTTAATAATGCACTTTCGAGAAAAATCGTTTCAGACATTACCTGCTTGTATCTTGATTGAGTACAAAATGTTGATGCAAACATTAGCCGAAAAGAATATATATATATTTATTGATGCACATATTCCCCCTTCATTATATAACCATCTTTAAATCCAGTTTGTGCCTTATTAGCCTTATTAACCAATTTTTCTAGAATACTATATGAGTTCAATAAATAAATAAAACATATATGGAAACATTTCGTTTCATAATAGATGAAAAATAAGTGTTAAATTTGGATACAGATGCACACTGACTGCGCACGCGTAACTTTATTATTGACTTCCGATCAAAACACGTGCGTGCTTTGGAAGTGAACAGATTAGTAAATAAAACAAAATGGGAAAAAACAAGAAAGAAAAGAGACAGTCGGAGGCTAATGAAACACTTGAAATTAGCTATGAGGAAAAACTAGAAAATCTTATGCCGATTGCAAAACCACTAGCCCCTAAAAAATTAACAAAACGTATCTACAAAACAGTCAAAAAAGGTAGGCCTAGACAGTAGACTTATGCGGGCTTATTAAATCAGCTCTGAGCCCTGTAAGTTCAGGAACTGTTCTAATGAATCCTTGTCAAAACTAACATCGGCCCCAGTCAATTTTACTGGGCAACTTTTGACTACTAAACGGTCGTGTGACAGTCTCTGAGAACGCCTGAAGTTACAATGTAAAAACATTTTTAGTGAGAAAATAAGTCCCTGCTTACCTCACTAGCGTCATTATGTGCAACACAACATGCCGTTAAAAATGCCTCCCCATCTGCTAAAAAGACTGGCAGGCGCCATTGAAATGTAAATACAGAGTAATGCACAGATTTATGTAACTCAGCCATAAGACGAAACGAAATTTAGGTATGGTGTAAGCTGGTGAAACAAAATTGGGATTTTTAAAAAAAAATTTATTGTAAATTGGGCTAGGCAAATCAATAAATGATTGAAGATTCTCAGCTTTTGAAAGATTTCATTCCCCCCCCCCCCCCACTTACCTAAATTTCTATTTGGTTTATATGGCTGAGTGGTGCAGGGCAGAGCGCCTGGCAAGGGAAAATGTATAGTGGGACAAAAAACTGAGGTCCTTTGTATATACATTGGCTTGCATGTAAAGATCCCTTGACAGTTGGAATTTGATAGAAGAGTAGGCCATAGCACCGCTGTTCGGGCAAAATATCCTTCATAGTATAGCACACCGTATGGCATATGTCCATCTTTGTTAGCCCAGCCAGAGCAGAAAAGTAGGAAGTAAACCCCATTTCATTTCCATTGCAACACTTCATAAGAGCATTCAGGAAATATCCCCCAACCATTCCAAACCATATTTCTCTATGAAATTATCTACGACAATGAGTAAGGTGCTGGCGTGATAACCTAGCTAGCGTTGTCCAAGGGAGTCTGGTGTAGTTTACTGTTGTAAGCAGTGAAGGACAGAAGATCTGGTAAAGAATGTGCCTACATGTATCTTCATTATTCCGGTGTGTAGGTAGACCCCTTATGTCACTCTGGTTAAAACACAGATCCTATTTTGTTTCGTTTTTATAGTTCAAAATTTCAATTTACTTGTCTTTACTACATTTGGATCTGGAAGAGTTGTTAATTAACTTGTGTTCTGAATGTTGTCAGGGATAAGCCAATGAAACGGTCTGTTACGGCGAGCTTTAGGCATGTTTTTCACAGAATTGTGGGTAATCCACTAGTAACATCAATGCTGATTGGTTAATCAAATGTCTGACCTCATAGGGTCATAAGTCGGTCTTTTGACCCCTGACGTGACCTATCGCTATAACTTGTCAGATCTTCATGTAGTGTAGGTCATCGAAAGTATGAAAAAAACGAAACGAAATATAGATCTGTATTTTAATCAGATTGGTTGATGTATACCCCCACCCCCTCTTGTCCCTTAGTGCATAGTTCTAATATCAAAAAGTCAAAATTTATAAAATTAAAGCCAATTGTAATATTTTCTATCTCATGGTTGTACATTACTGGTCAGGTGCTCATCAGTTTTCTCCTTTTTTTTTTATTTTTCTTGTAGCAAACAGCCAGAAGAAGCAGATCGTTAGAGGAATAAAACAGATTCAAAAATTTATTCGAAGAGGATCCAAGGGGTAATGTCTTTAATGGATTCAATTCTTAACTTAATGAACCCTTGGCAGTTGAAATTCAATGAAGGGAATGCAGAATTATCACTGTTCAATCAAATTTCCCCTCATAGCACATTGCGTAGCATATTTCTGTCTTCATAAGCTCTGTGCAGAAAAGTAAAATATTTGGGATTTTAATAGCTGGAGATGTTAGAGATTCTAATAATGTATATTTGTAATGTTTGTAGATTGTAATATGTGTGTTTGTAATGTTTAAGATTGTGTGTATGTGTAATGTTTGAAATTGTGTGTATTTGAGATTTTAATATATGCATGTAATATTTGAAATTGTAATATGTGTATTTGTAATGTTTGATATTGTAATATCCATATTTGTAATGTTTGAGATTGTAATATGCATATTTCTAATGTTTAAGATTGTAATATGCATATTTCTAATGTTTAAGATTGTGTGTATTTATAATGTTTGAATTGTAATATGTATATTTGTAATATGTATATTTGTAATTTTTGTAGGTTTGCTGTAATGGCTGCTGGTGTTTGCGATTGTAATATTTGTTTTTGTAATATTTGTAGGTTTGTTGTAATAGCTGGAGATGTGTACCCAATCGATGCTGTATCACATTTACCTGTGTTATGTGAAGATGCTGATATACCTTATTGTTATATACCTTCTAAACAGGTTAGTTCTTTGCTGGCTTTTGCTCAATAAGTAAGTAGTTGGTTGGCTAACCTGGAGATCTTGTGTTTCATCCCTGTGTTTGCCAAGAAAGTTCAACAGGATTTTCTGCCATGGTTCCTGGTTGTTAGTGGTGCAGGACGGAGGGATTGACAAGGGACAACGTGAAAGATCTCTTGGCAGTTGGAATTCGATATACAAGTATAGACTGTAACCCTGCTGTCTTGCCAAAATTTCCCTCATAGCACACTGTATGGCGTATGCCCGTCTTCATTAGCCCAGTTTGGAGCAGAACAGTAGGATGTTAAACCCCATTTCATTTTATTTATTTTGTTATTTTAGGATCTGGGTAGATCGCTGGGATCTCAGTACTGTGTTGTAGCATTAGTACAGTCACATGAAGATTATAAAGAACTTTATGATGAAACATTCGCAGACATCAAATCACTGCCTCATCCATATTAAACAAAGTCAAAGAAAAGACTTGGAACTATTTGTATATATTATGAAATGTGGCGCAATATCTAACAAGTGTGTAGATATCATTCAATTCACAGATAAAGAAAATAGAAACTAGGAATGTGCTGGTCTGGGAATATAGGTCTTATTGTACCTGGTATTGTGTCGAAAATGTATTAAAAATGTCAATAGAAAGGAGAAAATTGTGTGCCTGAAAAATGTACAGGTACCTGAGGATTTTGTACCCGACATTGTTATTGATGAGTATTTTCCAGACTGGTTTAACGCTGGACAGATTTAAAATACCGGAGCTACACTGATGTAAGCCTCCCTTGTATAGCTCTTGTTTTATTTCATGTTGGTCAGGAGAACGCTAGATCAGAGACGGTCCTGCACATTTTAGCACAGGTGATGTCATATTAGGGTTAGGGTATGGGCTAGGACCTGCAGATTTCCTCAAAGTCTCAAGATGGAAACTGGACTAGCGCTAACCCTGGACCATGCCTAACCCTTACCCTAATCCTAACGCACAATCCACATATGACGTCATATGTGTAGGGCCATCTCCGATCTAGCGTTCTCCTGTTTGTCAGTCCTGACACTGTTGAAATGCACCAACTGGAAAACATACTAGTTAGTTAATTGCCTGCCATCAAATTCGAATTTCAAAGCATTTAAATTTCAACTGTTGTTTACACAGTTAAATTTACAGTTTTTATACATTAACCTGCAAGCAAACTTTTATTGCATTACGGCCAAACAAATTTGATCTTTAATGCTTGATTATTATACTCACACGATGAGCTATTTTCTTCACGAAAAAAGGGAATTTTTAGTAGGTGTTTCTGAAGAACTAGAAATGAAAGTAGTTTGACCAAAATCAATACATTTAAAGTGTAAATATGACATTTCATTAAAGAGATCAATCTTACATGGTTTTAGTTTTAAATTTTTTGTTACAGGCTTTTCATTTTACAGGAATACTGTATGATTACAGGCCCCCATACTCCTTGCAATGTTTTTTTTTGATTAGAGCTAAGCCCACTTAATACTGCTGTAAAGGAAGCAAATTTCTGTTCCAAATTATGACTGGTCAATAGTCCTTTTAACAACCAATAGCTAACTGCGTAACAATATCATTACGCTTTAGACAGAGCTCCAAATTGGACCAAATATGTTTACATAGTGTTACGTCATGACTCTCGATTTTATTATGCCCACTTAACCAGTGCATAGCAGAATATTGCAGAAAAAGTAATTGTGTGACAAACGAGGCTATCAACACGGATATAATGTAAACAATACTGTTTGGAGACAAACAATACTTTCAACGTTTTTAATGCCTTAAATCACTGTCCAAAGTTTTAGGGAAGACCCCAGATTAAACGAAGAGCTGTCATGTTGCTTTACTTGGGATAGATTATCAGAAGTCAATCCAGCAATGGCCAGAGAGGGATTTCAGGAATATGACAGGCCCCAGACTTTACAGCACAGTGGAGTGGACTCTTATGGCTTGCCCCTGGAATCATTCAGGCTTGTAGTCAAAAGTGGACAAAACTGATCATTGATTTTTTTTTAATAAAATTTACCTATTCTACTTCAAAATATTTTTTTTTACTCCATGCAGATAATGTTTGCTGATATCTTTTGCTGCAAAGATTAATGTGAAGAAGTTAGTCATATCTAGTCATATCTATTTAATGGTGGATTCAGGCTAATATTACTAATAATTGCTTCCCGTCATTTCCATAGCCTTCATTTATTTACAGCATTACTTTGTCCCCCCCGTTCATCTCTTTTGTATTAGATTTTTGTTGACCTTCAGAAAGTAGACAGACATAAATTGGGGAAATCATGTAGGAAAAAAACATCACAGCCTATAGATTCCTTTGATTGGGAATAGAAAAAAATCAAGATGGTCAGCCTCCTTCAATAGTCTGGGTTATTTATGTTTATAAAGATTATGATTAACAGCATGGTTAAAAAAAAAAGATATAGGCCAAGAAATGGCATGAATTTAATCACTGAGGTGGTTGGGGTTCGCTATACCAGTCTGACTCCTGATGCTCTTGACTGGAGTTGCTTCCCATTAACGAAATATTAAGGCCAATTAAGGGTTGTTTTGGTTATACTTTTATTTGTTACCGATGCTGTATCTAATTGAGGTAAAGGTTGTCATTTATTGTCACTAATATTAAATTTCAAAAAATAAAATTGTTATTGAGTTATACCAGTTAAATAAACACACAAAATAAGTAGAAAAACATGACATGCATACTGTGTTATTTAGAGTTATTCCCCTTCTGACAAATTTCCGGTGTAAACAATAAACTAAATTTATGAGGAAGATTAATGCTATATTGGTTCGTTTGGTTGTATTTCAATAACTCTTGTTCAGATGAATACTGAATTATTGCTAGAGACTACCAATGGAGGCCAAATAAGCAGCAATGCGAAAAAGACATTGAAAGGAGGGAAAACTAAAAGTAGACCAGTAACTGAAAGTGAAAGTAGCACTGCCACTACTAACCATACTTTAGAATCAGTGCCAGCAGCTCCAAAGAATGTTTCTAAAAGATTATGGGAGGTAAATATCTTTACTTTAGGGTCTTGAACGAGTGGATTCTCATGAACCAAGAATTTCTAAATCATTTCGGTTTATATAAAATATAAAATCTGAAATGTTTTACTCTTTACTTTAGCATTGGTAATTTACAGTTTTGACACACTAAGTTTATCCAAAATGTTTGTCAGTTAATTACATATACCGGAAATATAATACTATGCACTTCATTGTTAGTCAAGCAAGGACAGCATCATCCAGAAAAGAATCAAGGAAATAAAATGAAATGTGGTTTTATGGCATGTCAGCTCCAACCGGGCTATATTGTGCCAAACATATGGAAAGAAAGAAGGTTCAGGGGACCACTAAAATACCTCTACATGTATCTGTCACTTTTTGGAACACAATAACTTGACTTCTAAGGTAGAATCTATGATTTCAATTGTAGCACGAATCGTGATAGTAGGAACCTAGCATTAGTAATTATTTTGGGATTGATATGTGGGGGGTCCTCAACTTCACTGTTATTAGGATTGAAATTATAACCTTAAAAGTTTTGAAAGGGCAACCAACTAAGATAGATAGTCTTTTAAGTAGAATTAACACATTAACAAAACACAAAGGGATATCAATCACTGTTTTTTTTATAAAGGAAATGTGCTGAATAACGACCAGAGGATAATTTTTTAAATGTATATAATATAATAAAACCATTGATTGTTTCTCATAAAAATCATATTTTGTTAACTAAGAAAGAAATTTAGGCCAACATTTAGGTCTTCAATATTTTAATATTTGTTTATAGAAATTTAAATTGCTTGAGAAAAGAACCGATGAAGCCACCAAACATTCTACAGAGAAGAGAATTAAAGATTTACAGAAGAAGGTCCTAACAAAAGGTTATATATATATTTGAACATATGATAATAATATTGAAGATTATCAACTCATTTCATTTATTTGGTGCCAAAGCTCTGCTTCCCTCAGGTTCCTATTTTTCAGAGGTAACACCTGCAGTGTTTACAAGCAAATGAAACAAGAAATAATCCATGTTCACATTGTCAAGGGCTCTTTTACGTGCATGCCACATGTACACAGTACGATCCTAACAACTAGACACTGTTCTTGCCAGGACCTCCATCCTGTACCTGTGACATGGGTAAAAACCCACGCTGGAAAATCCCAGGGAACTGGACCTCCTGGTTAAATCAAGAAAAGAAATTTCTATTTATAATTTATAAATTCTTACAGCTGCCTCCCCTACCCTGATATGTACGTTTTGTAGTTTGTGGTGTCTGTATATTTTGTCCTGTCCACAAGTTTGTCATGTGTAATTGTTTGTGTATGGTGCAGTCCTCCTGCACTTACTATTAATATATTTTGTGTCGACAGTTACGGAAGAAATTCAGGATGATGCTGGTAAAGTTATTCTACAGAAATATGACGTTAAATTTGGCCCAAGTATAAAAGATTCACCGATAAAACAACAAGTAGATAAGACGGGGAGGTAAGAATGAGAGATTACAGCCCCTCCCCCTTCGCTCTGCCAATCATTAAAATGATGCCACAGAATTAAATTTGTCATGAAGCTGTAATAATGGTGCTGAGATAATAATGATTTTTCATGACTATAATTTATAGTGTTTTATGCCTTAAATCACGTGGAATTATTGAGAGTATGGAGAATCTGCCAAAAAAAAGGCTTAGAATATCTAATCCTCCCCTAATAGACATCTGTGACAAGGGGTCTTGTATTTTGGACTAGGATTGATTGGAAATGAAATTGGGTTTAACGTTCTACTGTTCTGCACCGACCAGGCTAATGAAGACGAGCATATACCAGGTTATCGAGTCAACGCCAACATAGGGGTCCAACACGGGACATTTAGGTTATCGAGTAAATGTCTCGACCAACACAGGGGTCCAACACAGGACATCCAGGTTATCGAGTCAACGCCAACACAGGGGTCCAACATGGGACATCCAGGTTATCGAGTCAACACCTCGACCAACACAGGGCTCGAACCCGGAACCTCCAGGTTATCAAGCCAACATCTTACTCACAATATTTTTTTATTTTAAACAGTTGTACGTCAGGTGATAATGAGGACCAATGGAACGAGGTAAAACAATTACTGGACGTCAATAAACATTTAGAAGTTGGAACAGGATTACATCGTGATAAGACCGAGTTTGAGAAGAAAATTGATGAAGCTGTAAATCGTGGTGATATTCAAACAGCGGAGGAATTGAGTGACAGATTAGCTAATAGACAGGTGAGATAATTAGCATAAATATTTAAAGGAGCTAAATCGCTAATATTTGGGACCTAGAAATTGACCCAGATGGGTCGTAACGCATATAATAATGTAATCTGATTGTATATAAACTGATGTACATTCAATTGTTTCCTTTTTGACTCTATAATTTCAAATCAGTTATGTCCAGCGAAATGGCACTTTCTAACGTCTGGTTATTCCAGTCTATTACGCATGCTCTCCAGATAAGATATGGCGTCATCGTTTGACCCGAGTTGTGGAATATGTCTAGCCTTGTTCTTTCTGGTCACTTGTTACAAATGACGCTGAAACGCACTATGGTACACCATTCGTGTACCAATGGTAAAATGTATATTTTGTCTTAAATATTGGATATCAGAAACCTACCTTTTCCCGTAAGATCACAACGTCAATGTTGATTTGAATTGACAAAAAATTTGTGTTTTCAATGTGTAAGACTTTGGATGATATTGAGTTAGAGACTTAGCTACATTAAATATTGGATATCAAAAGCCCATCTTTTTCCAGTAAGATAACGTCAATGTTGATTTAAATTGACAAATAATTTGTCGAAGGCTGTGGATGATATTGAGTTTAAGACTTAGCTACTTTAAACATTCTACCTCAATTAAAAGCAGAGTTTATATGTTCCGAAGTCTTGACCAATCAAATTACTTATTGCAACTTGGCCTAAACAGAAAAATCTCATCATCGAAATTAGACAATGTATTGATATAATGAATCTTTGTTCTGAATTTCACCACCCTCACACAAATTAGAATCAAAGTTATCGAGCACCAAAGTCTTGACCAATCAAATTGTTTAAGGCTAAAGCCTAAGCAGAAATGAAATGGGGATGAACGTCCTACTGTTCTGCTCCGAACTGGGCTAATGGAGACGGGCATACACCATACAGTGTGCTATGAGGGAATTTTGCCCGGGCAGCGGCACTACAGCCTACTCTTATACTGAATTTCAATTGTGAAGGGATCTTTTACATGCACGCCAATGTGTACACTGGACATTTTTTTTTGTTCCATCCGAACGACTAGATGAACTTTCTCGGCCAATGTAGGGATCGAACACTCGACCTCCAGGTTAGCGTGCCAGCGTCTTACCCACCATGACCCCCTAAAGCCTAAGCAGAAAATGCCCATCTTGGCAAGAGAGAATAAAATGTTTAGGTGTTTCCAAAAACCTTGAATTTAAATTGATGTGGCCTAAGATGAACTGGGGGGGGTTGGGATGGCCTAGTGGTCTAGAGTGCCGCGCTTCGACCTCTGGCTGGCCGGTCACCTCTGGCTTGCGGCTGTGGTTTCGAGCCCTGGTGTGAGCGTATGTGGCATGGAGATAGGGGCGCCTTCTCAATCTCGTGGGTTTCCTCCGGGCACTCCGGTTTCCTCCCACTGCTAAAGACCTCTACGCGCAAGCGAATTATTGAAATAAAATTAAACCATGTTAGTCCCGAAATGACCTAGTTGTGTCGAGTGGACGTTAAACCCCATTTCTCTCTCTCTCTCTCCTAAGATGAACTGTACTAAAGAGTTAAATATGTACCTGATTGAACTTGGCCCAGAAATAAAACACAACTATAACATTTTGTATCGGGATAATCATACTTTAATAATTCACATCACAAATTTATTGATCTAAAATAATCAATATTTGAAAATCAAACAAAGAAATATAAATATTTATAAATATCTAATAACCTATATAACTTTTGATTTGACATATCACATTATGCAGCATACACAATAATTATTACAATATACTGAAATACACACAAGGTACAAGTTTATGGATGTTTAGAGGAATCTACTGTTTAGCTCCATCTTCAGTCTTATTTAGAAGACGGTGTGGCTCAGTGAGTAAGGGGGGGGGGGTCGAATGGTTAGTATGTGCGCACTGTATCATAAGATCTGTCATTGAGTCAACTGGCATGGTTACGAATCCCTGGTTGTATGGGACAAGGAAAAGAGTAAGGTTGCCTGTCAAACCTCGTGGATTTTCTCCGGGCCCTCTGGTTTCCTCCCTTTGCTAAAGGCCCCTACACACAAGCAAATTATTTGAAATATAATTGAACCATGTTTAAGTCCCAAAATGACCTAGTTTATTGCGAGTGGACGTTAAACCCCATATCTCTCTCTATGTCTCAGTGAGTAAGACATTGTACATCGATTTATGGACATTGATATTTGATATAATGTCACAATTCCAACATGGCCGCCATGACATCATGCTTTAATTCCTCGTCACTAGTATGCTAATACTTGTTATATTTATTATGAATATATATAATTATCTATTTGAAAACAAGTTGATGAGAATACACAATATGTAAATTATATAATTTTTATAAATAAAGAAATAAAATTTGATATGCTTATAATGATTATCACAGTGAAATGGAAGAATGAAATACACAGACATTTAAAACAAAAGCAACGATACAAGATGTGCATTTTCCAGAAAATATCAAATTTCTCACAGATAATAGCCTTACTCCATACTAATATGTACTCAATTTTATGATTGATATTCCTATTAGAGATTAAACGTTTACAATATTGTAGTTTGCAAGGGATTCTAGCGTGCTAAAGTCATGCATAGGGTCTTTAATAAACATAGTAACACTTATCACATAAGATTATGTCAATCTTATTAAACATACATTATACAAGAGATAAATCTGCCTATTGCAGGTCTTTCTTTAGGTCTTAAAAGTTATATAAATTATTAATTAGACATGTATTGACATGACAAGACCATAATCAACTCTCGATGCCATCTGATGGGTCTGATTTTAACTAGATTTGAATCCAATCTGTCATCCAACGACCATTGAAGATAAACCGCAAAAAAGGATAATCAAGACATTTTTTATTGTCGTAACAATGATAGTAATGTTGATCAAGGCTACCTAAAATTGAGATGTCTGCAACTCGATACCTGATCCATATTGTAATACTTGTTATAATAAATTATAGCCTAATGAATCCTGGAATTAGGGCACCTGTTAGCACAGACAATGCTTATATATTATGCTAACATTTAAATAATATTGATATTAATATGCATTACATAAATTTCAAACTTTAAAGATACATTATGTAAGAGCTAAATCTGCCTACTGCAGGTCTTTTTCTGTTATTATAAACTATTAATAAGGCATTTATTAACATGACAAGCGTATAACTATAATCAAATATCTAGAATATCGGATGGCTTAGATATTTAGTGGATTAGAACCCGCTCGCTATGTAAAATTTAAAAATACTTGGTACTTGGCAATCAAGATAATCTTGAGACCTTCTGATGCAAGCTTCTTTAGAGGATGCTGAATATTGTGAAATTTTTAATTTATTATATCTCTATAAATACTGAATGGAACGGAACCATTTTTGCACTGATATTCCTTCTGGAGATCCCACTTCCACATTATTCTAGTTAGCAATAGATTTAACATCCTTCAGATGATGATCAGAGACTCATGCTAGGTTCCCGCTGTCATGCGATGAGGCAACGATCTGGTATAGACTTGATAGGATCACCATTACTCTACAATTAAAACAACAATTTCAATCGTAGCCCGAAAGGTGATAGTTGGAACCTAGCATTAATATTTTTGAGAGTTGAATAAAAACAAGTGATTTAAATTTAGAAACAAAGCCACACTGATTTAATTTCACAAATTGCATCAGAAAATTATTTCCAAATAATAAATTCTTTTAATCCTTTTGGTAACGGCAGATATTCCACTCCGTAAAAAACATTACATTTATTATGAAAAGCTCGCCGAAGAGCCAAACTGCAGTAATGCTGTAGCGTTTTCACTTCTCGTTCGAAACCTTTCACCCAATCAACATAAAGTTTGTCGTCTTCAGAATTTAAATATGCGAACTGATTTGATGCGAGACTGTTCCCTAAAATGACCCAAAGTCGCAAACATCGGTACATCTTTTTGTCAACACAGAGAAAAAACAGATTTTGTTGAGTGTTGCTTCGTAACTGACGCAAATCGGGTGTGGCACAAATAAAACAATAAATAATATTTTCCGTCGATTCCTTCCACAGAAATATGGATCCGTTATATTGTAACCATAGCGACTCGATCCCTAGCAAGTTTTTGGCTGACTTAATCAAAATTTCTAAACATTCAACATGTTGATTCCGTGCAGCTAAAATAATTGGCGTAGAATTTAAATCGTTCTTCAACATGGGATCCCCGCCAGCTTTCAATAGATATTTCACAAGATGCACGTCACCAAGCTGAGATGCCAGGTGTAAAGCAGAGTTACCTCCCTGTCGCTGTAACTTCGAGTTGACATTAAAACCATTCTGAATTAGGTCACAGACAACGTCCACATCCTTAGTTGTAACAGCTTCTAACATTTTCTTCTCAGATCCAAAACCATTTAATAGAACGTGGAACAGGTCAGTCATGGTTCACTTCAGGCCTGTACGAAAATAAATATTGAAAATTTAATTATAGTAAGCAAACGGTATCCACCCAGGATATCGAACCAATATTGTTAAGCTTAGACTTTGATTAATAGGATCAGGAGGTCTATATGGATATACATGGATATAAGATGCAATCAATTAAATTACAATTATCTGTACCAGGTAATCAGAAAAGGTCTAATTACAGATTACATCTGATTACCGGTACCAGCAAATTTGTAATCAGTAAGAGCTGACTACGATTGCAGATTATGATTACCCCATGTCTGCCATGTACCTGTGCAAAATAAGGAGCAATAGCACAGTGGTCAGCAGGCCTGGAAATACATGTAACTGTTTTAGCTGCTGACAAAATGTCATACACCAGAAATTACCAGATGGTTATAAAATCACCTCCACCATTATTGTATGGGTCTTGCTGATCACACCAAAGTTTGGATTTATTACCGTAAATTGCTATTTTTGTGTAATGCATATAAGTTTACAGTAATACTTGTTCATGCGTAGTTATATAGTCTGTAGTCTGGTTCCGAACACCTTGAATGAAGAACCGACAAATACATTAACCCTACATAATAAATTGCTAAGATACCAAGATCTCTGATGATTCATGCGCTGTAAATCGTCTGCACAACCAGAACAGTATAACGCAATCTAATCAGTTAATTCAATACAATGTTGTTTATTTTATTGATTTTTTATAGCGGGTCAGATGTTTTTCGCTCTCTGGTTTTTTTTTATAGCTATATATTATTGCTCTGTTTCTTGTTTGACCTGTTGAGGCAGACAGCTAAGTTATTAGAAATATGAATCATTCGTGGTAGGCTACCGTTTCGTAAATGCATCGGGTAAAAGTTCTGATCAAAGTCAAAAGTATTAAATGCGTCTGCTAGCCCTTGGTATAACCAAGCAAAGGATAATATTTTATAATTATTTGAAGGTCACAATTCACTCACCCATATGTATTTCATTAACTACATCTCCATAGTAACCGTTTCAAGCACCTTATTATGACATTTCACATTGCTAAGATGAAATAATTCAAGAGAATTATAAAACGAGTTACAGTGCAGACCATTTATTCGGATGTTGATTTAGTGATCGTCGGTAGAGGGGAATAACTCCAACTAAATGTCATGTCGCTCTTTGTCTGTATGGCAGGTTTTGAACTGGGAATTGTTATCCGGTACCCGGACCAAAAATTCACGGATACGCGCTCGGAAAATACACGATTGCTATCCACAGATTTATATTCGTATCTACAAATAGTATAGATTTGTAGTGCTAAAAATATTTGAATCGACCCCCCTCCCCCCCCCCCCCCCCGCCACCACTACCACCACCAATCCCCCAGAAATAAAATAAAAAAAAAACCAAAAAAAACCCCAATAAAATAAACCCTAAACAAAAAAAAACTTTTCACGAAGGATGTGCAACGCGACCTGTAAATAATTCTTACCGTGCTGGTAATCGGATGCTGCATTGCACAACGAGTGTTTTCATTTCGGTGGACAGGGTCGGATTAAAGTGGGTAGGGTGGAGTGGTGGACTCAATCTGTTTCACAAAGGTATTGCAAAAACCTTTCTTATAACTCTGTGTAAGATGGCTGACCTTTATAAGTTCAAGTACATCTTCTACATGTGATGTCACATCATACGGCGCCGATCATTGGCTCGATGGCGCGTGAATTGTTTAAATAATAGGTGTAGCGTAAACTGGTCCGGACAGGATGGTGCCTTTTACTCTTTTTATATAACTATTTACATTATATTCGAATTCTTTAACATCCAAATATACTTCAAACACCCTTATTTATTTTTCTAATACTTTAAAAAAAATGTTCTAGAATTTAATTTGCAGAAGAAAAAAGTTAATATTGTGAGCTAATTAGCCTAACCCGTACCTACCGATGTGTCATCACTCTCAAGTGATTGTAGCGGCCTAGGGAATATTTACTGCTGATCAGTGTTTCTTCAATGTTGATTCCTCGGTCTCAGTGACATTTTCAACCCCATGCAAGCCTAGTCCGGATCGCCGGTGGAATGTTGGTCTCCTGCCACACTCACACAGTACCAATCAGAATTGATTTTATTTTGCAGTTTGGTAAGAAAATATCAGATGCCGTTGAAGCAAGAGACTATTTAAAACGAAAGAAGGTAAGATATCAATAGTGTCCACACGTTGCCTTATGGGTCTCTCTAGTTGAGTGTGGTGCCGTCCTCCTGCACTTATAATAATACTGACTAGCAGAGACAAGTGAAATAAAATGGGGTTTATCGTCCTACTCTTCTGCATCGACTGGTCTAATGAGACGGGCGCACACGATGTATTGTACTAAGCGTGAAATTTTGCCCGGAGAGTTTATCTAGAATTTGATAATGTTAAAAATGGTTTTTTTTTACTTAAAACAATATGATTATTTAATTGTAGATAGAAGACGAATCCATTAAACAAAAGAAAAAGAAAAAACTACATTGGGGGTAATTATTATTTATACCATTTAATATTGTCGTCTCCTCTAACCTTCTCCCCAAATCAGTTTCACAGATGTATTGCGAAATCCTTGTAGCGGCCTACCAATCTGTTTCACAGAGTATTACTAAAGTCTTCTAATATCTCTATAAAAGATGACTGCCTTCAACACATGACGTCATATCACGCGGCGTCAACCATTGACTCAATGGCGCGTGCATTGCTTACGGATTCGACGAGAATGGCGCCTTTTACTCATTTTAATACCCATTTACACTAAAATAGGAAATAATTTTAAACCTACTAATTACTTCAAACGTCTTTATTTATTTTTCTAATACATAAAAAAAAATGTTTTAGAATTTAATTTGTCGGTGGAAAAAAGTTAATATTTGTGTCTCATTAAGTCGCATCGATGTCATCCTTATCAGTGATTGTCGCGGCCTAGCGAATATTCACAGCTGATCAGTGTGGCGACCTACCGCATATTCACTGCTGATCAGCGTGCGTTCATCCATCCGCCTATGCGTCCACCCGACCACAATTTCACATTGACTGGTAGTGGTATTATTCGGTCTACCATCACCGACAGAAGCGTTTTGTGATTAGCTCTTATCTGTGTTTAGCAGTAACGTTTTTGTCAAAATTTCAATTATCAACAATTTCGTCAATGGGCATAAATATTCTATATCATATATTTTCTTGTCGTTCGTGGGGGTGGGATGGCCGAATGGTTAGCGCGTGCGCGCTGCATCATAAGGTCTGCCATTGAGTTAACTGGCGTGGTTTCGATTCCCCGGTTGTATGTGACAAGCAGTAGGGTCGCCTGTCCAACCTCGTGGGTTTTCTTCGAATCCTTCGGTTTCCTCCCACTGCTAAAGACCCCTACGCGCAAGCGAATTATTGAAATAAAATTGAACCATGTGTTAGTCATGAAATGACCTAGTTTTTGTCGAGTGGACGTTAAACCCCATTTCTCTCTCTCTCTCCCCAGCCAGAACAGCGGGACGTTAAACCCTATTTCATTCATTCATTCATTCATTGTTGGCGATGGTCGTATTATTTTGAGACGGCCATCTATTTTTTTATACCCGTATGGTAGAACTAACATTAAACAACAATTTAAAGAGGGGTATACCTCGGTGGCTCATTGATTAAGGCGCCGGAAAATATCAGGACAGTCCACATGGTATTACTCCATTTTAGCAAGTTTGACTTTTAGATTAGATTCTTCATTTTCCTCTCGTTATCAACCTATAACATGTCATTTTATGTTTAGATTTCAAGAGAAAGAAAGATGGGAAACCAAGGGTAACATGTAGATAGGAACATCAAGTCGTATTGTTACACTCAGGGTTCAGTGGTGGAAACCAAGGGTTAGCGTAAAGAGAAAGACGAGAACATCCAGTTATAATATTGTTACACATGGTGGAAAAAAACACAGACGTCGCATGATAAAGTAATACAACTTGAAGAAACGCGTGCCGAATGGAATGAATAGCTGACGATTGACGACAAGACAGAATGGCGGAACACAAATGACTTGTTGCTATTATCTAGAACATTATTCCTGTCACGTCGACTATGATTAATTCTTATTCCGTGCATGATCCAATGAAATGATTTTTGTTATGGGACTAATTTACGGCCTGACGTATTACGTGATAAAAGCACCAATTCATGTACAGCTGAACATTAATTTCAATAATTCAATATATTGATCGCTATATGTAAATTTTAATGACGATATTTATAAATTATCACCCAATAATACATTCTACAGTAGATATCGCTTGTGTGATAAATTCCATAATATACTGTGATATCTCCCCGAGGAGATATCGCTTTACATGAATTTGACTGGTCAGTTAAAACGGAACTACTTTTTTGTATTTTGTATTTTATTAAAAGTCACCGCTATGTTATCAAAAATAAACTATTTTTATTTAATTTACCTTGATGGAAACACTGGGTCAATATAAAGTACTTTGCAATGGTTGAATTGCTGCCAAAAAATGATTTATTACTACGCCGTAATGTAATCAGGTTCAGTAAAAGTGAAATTTATAGCAAAGAATTATATTTATTTATTTGTGCATATATATAGCAAAGAATTATATTTATTCATTTGTGCATGTAAGAAAGGATTGGGTGATAAATAAAATCTCCTACACGTCTTTTTTGATATCAAAATATCAACACTCGTTGATAAAGTAAAAGAAAAACTCGACAGAGCCTCATTTTTTTTTTACTTTATCGACTTGTGTTGACATGTTTTGTTATCAAAAAAGACGAGTAGGAGATTCCCTATTCGTCAGATATCCTCTCACAGTCTCATAACAACTTGGAAGGAATTATCAGTGAGCAAAAATTCGCCCGTGTATCTGTTATCACTCTTCACTTCAGTCAGTTATATAGAAGGATAACTCATGTTTTCCGTTTGCTTTCGTCACTTTCGTTTGTTTGGAATGTGTTTAACGAGATCTATTATGTGATACTGGCTGACACCAATATTGTCCTTAAACCTTAGGTATTGCCATTTCTTCAATAATATTCTAATTGAAGCGTGACCTTACAATGATTCAATTACTTGCATCTCAGATAAATCCACCTGCGCGCTGTATCATACGGTCTGTCATTGAGTCAACCGGCGGTGTTTCGATTCCCCGGTTGTACGTGACAAGGAGTAGGGTCGCCTGTCCAACCTCGTGGTTTTTCCTCCCACTGCTAAAGACCCCTACGCGCAAGCGAAGTATTGAAAAAAAATTGAACCGTGTGTTAGTCCCGAAATGACCTAGTTTGTGTAGTGTGGACGTTAAACTCCATTTTTCTCAGGGACCTCGGGTTTCCTCCCACTGCTAAAGGCCGCTACTTGCAAGCGAAATATTGATATAAAATTGAGCCATGTGTTATCTCTCTCTCTCTCTTAAAAGTACCATTTATAATTTAATATCAATCAATATATCTGGTTTTTATCTTACCTTGAAAATATGGGAACCTAATATTGAGTAATTCATACAAATGGATATTTTAAAATCAATACACGGTGTTGTGTATTCTATGTTTTCGAGCGCCATTTGTAATGAACAAAGAAAATACATATCCTACAAGACAATGTGGAAGTAATGACCGTTTCACAAACGACAACACGATAATAAACAAGCGTATAGAATGGACTAATCAGAGGTAAACGACTGTCGATCAATTGAGAATGTTCCCGTATTTCACCGACCGTCTTCATTAGCCCAGTTCGGAGCAGAACAGTAGGACGTTAAACCCCATTTCATTTCATGTATTTCACCGAACATAATTGATTAGAAACCACAATAATTTGTGTTAAAAAATTGAATATAAATCATTTTATATGCATCCATATTACATTTATATGTGCTTTTAGACTCATTTTAGTCTATATTGGGGTTCCAAAGAATATAGAGCGATGACCATTGAATCTTGTCAAATGTATAAAGACCTTAGATCACAACTTATACAATGGATCGACCCATCCAATCTGATTAAAATACAGATCTATATTTCGTTTCGGTTTTTTATACTTTCGATGGCCTACACTACATGTAGGTCTGACCGGTTGTAGCGATGGGTCACGTCAGGGGTCATACGAGCGACCTTTAACCCTATGACGTTAGACATTTGATTAACCAATCGACATTGATGTTACTAGTGGATTACCCACAGTTCCATGCAAAACACGCCTAAAGCTCGCCGTAACAGACCGTTTCATTGGCTAATACCTCACACCACTTAGAACACGTCAATGATAACAACTCTTCCAGATCCTAGTGTAGTAAAGACCATAGATATCCTATGGTAAAGCCAAGTAAAAAGAAAATTTTGAACAATAAAAACGAAACGAAATAGGAATGTGTTTTAATCAGAATGCGACCCTTCCTATTGTAATAACATTTTCTTGTATATAAAAGCTATGTCGGATATAAACATTGTAAATAATGTAGCAGAATATATATTTAAGGCTAACAGCATAAGATCTAGTTATCTGTTGTATTATCATTATGTTTTATATAGTTGATATATTATACTGCACTACTGTTGACCAGACCCCAAATTCACAAAACATTCTGATACCTAAGTTAAGAATTTACTCAAAATTATTCGCCTTATTTTAACTAAACTATAGGCCTTTATAACACTTTTTTTGTTTTAATATATCAAATACATCAATGAGAAACTATGTGCACATTTTCTGTGTTTCTGAATTAAAAATATTTCTCATAAACCGTGATTGAAAGTTAAGTGAATTCTTACCTTAAGTCTTGGAATGCTTTGAGAACTCGGGGCCAGATTTCTTAAATACTAAATCAAGATTTGATTTGATTGGAATATTGCAATTCTGGCCATATATTGTGGATTTTTATATCATTTTTAACAATAACTGAAATTTCAAATATTGTCTTTACCAATTATATGCACAGGAATCTATTCATTGGAATATAATTCACCAAATATATTGAGGGATGGGGTCTAGTGGTTTAAAGCGTGTGCGTGAAATCAGAAGGTTTGTCATTGGGTCAATTGGCGTGGTTTCGATTCTCCACATAACAAGGAGTAGAGTCGCCTGTCCATCCTCGTGGGTTTTCTCAAAGTTCTCCAGTTTTCTCCCACTGCTACGACAGTGTGTGCTGTGAAGAGAAGTGTCCCCACGCACATACATAATTTACACGTACATATATGTTGTTATTAGTTACACCTGTCACGGTAATAAGTCTCTAGAATCCCATTTTAGCACCCACGATGGTGACAACACCCACTACCGACTGGAGAGAGAGAGAGAGAGAGAGAGAGAGAGAGAGAGGGCTTAACGTCCACTCGAAACAAACTAGGTCATTTCAGGACTAACATATGGTTTTTAATTTTATTTCAATAATTCGCTTGCGCGTAGGGGTCTTTAGCAGTGGGAGGAAACCGGAGGACCCGGAGAAAACCCACGAGGTTGGGCAGGCGACGACCGACTTGGCTAATAAAGACGGGCATACGGCATACAGTGTGCCATGAGGAAAGTTTTGCCCGGGCAGCGGCACTACGGCCTACTTTTATATCGAATTCCAACTGTTAAGGGTGCTCTTACGCACACTCTAATGTGTCCACGGGACCTAAATTTTTCGCCCCCCCCCCACACACACACACACCGCGTGCGGCCCGCCCTGCTCCACTAACGAGAGGAAACCACGCCGGAAAATCCAAAGGAACTATTCAATATACAGCAACCATTGATAAATACCGTACCCCCTGATTAGACCTTCTGTTCATTGCTCGTGAGCCAGCGCCTTACACACTGATCCACTGTGGCCCTCGATTGAACTATTCAATAAACAACAACCAATAATATGTAACAACATTTATTGTTGCTGATAAACAACACTAATACGATTCTGTTTATAATGATCCAAAACATTCTTTAACGCACGGAACATGTGATGAAAATCCAAAATGGCGACAAATAGCATGATGGAGCCAAGAAAACCAATACCAATACTTCCAACGACAACGGCCGAGCTTCTGTTATCACTTGCCGAACTTAGCTTCCGTTTAAAGGAGGAAAGGGAAGTCGTGTTGATGACCAACTCTTTTTTTATCTCTTCTATTATCTCGGCTTCTACGGTGGAACCTTCTATTTCCGTAAAACATTTACACGGACATACTACGTTGGTTTTGGCTACAGGTGTCGCTACAAGAAATAAATATACATACATACACATACTTTTATTTCCGAGACTGTGTTAAAATCGGGATGGTCCCTTTAACTATTATAGCGAGAACTGCCAGCTTTTTATCTAATTATACGTAATACCCCTTTAACCATAAGCTATTTCAAGTATTTTAAACTACATCTATAACGTAAATAAGTTTATATGAGGGAGAGAGAGAGATTAACGTCTACGCACCACAAACTAGGTCATTTCGGGACTAACATATGGTTCAATTTTATTTCAATAAACGTTTGAGCATAGGGGTCTGTAGCAGTGGGAAGAATCTCGGAAAAACCCGCGAGGTTGAACAGGCGATGCTACTCCTTGTCACTTACAAGTGTAGAACCACGCCACTTGACAGATCTTATGGTCTACAGCGCACGCGTTAAACCATTTTGGTTTTTTTTATTTACTTTGAGTTGTCGGGGCACTGAACCGTGGACTATAATTTCCCGGGTTTGATTCTCGATGTGGTAAAAGGAGACCCTACTCCATTTGTCAGGACTGATTCTATCGATTATTCAGAGGAATATTGAAACTAGGGGCTGACAAGAAACGTTTGCCTAATCTTTCGGGTGGGGCGAAAAATCGAGGTTCACCTGTGTACACATTTGCAGATAGAATAGTCGGAAACGCCGCTGTCTGGGCAAAAATCACTCGTGTCATATTTCGGCCAGTGTTTCCAACCTCGTGGGTTTTCTCCGGCTCCTCCGGTTTTCTCCCACTGCTAAAGACCCCTACGCGCAAGCGAATTATTGAAATAAAATTAAACCATATGTTAGTCCCGAAATGACTTAGTTTGTGTCGAGTGGACGTTAAACCCCATTTCTCTCTCTCTCTCTCTCCCGGTCAGTGTCTGGTCGTACATATTAACGTGCACGTAAAAGAACCCTAAAAGAACGAAGGGCACATTGGCGTGCATGTAAAACTTAAAGAACCCTTGGAAGTTGGCATTAATTCGACGAAGAGCACATTGCATGGACCGAGGGCCTGGCAAGGGACAACATAATGTTCGTTCGGATGGGATAAAATAACGAGGTACATTTTTTTTGGCGTACACGTAAAATAACCCCTGGTCGTAGCGCCGCTGTTCGGTCAAAATGTCCCTCATAGCACAGTTTGGCGGGTATCTGTCTTCATTATCCCGGTTGGAGTTGAAAAGTAGGACGTTAAATCACATTTCATTTACCTGTTGACGATGATGAGGTGAGCTGTGTGTTATAGTTGACTATTTTAACGGAAGATGAAGTCTCCGTAGTGATGATTGATGAATCTGTAACACTGGATTCCGCCGTGTTCTTAACAGATTCTAACATCATGGTACTGGATGCAGCTAAATCCTGTCAGACAAAACAATGGGAAACTTTAGTAAACAGAACATGGCGGTTCAATATGGTGAAATATGAAACAGGTTCAATCCAATCTGATTGAAAATACAGATCTATATCTCGTTTTTTTATACTTTTGTAGTGTGAGCTCGCGTCAGGGGTCATACGAGCGGCCTTTGACCCTATGACATCAGACAATTGATTAACCAATCAGCGTTGATGTTCTTAGTGGGATGGGGGGTGGGGGGTGGGAAATAAAGAAATAACAAAATACGTCACGGTAAAAAAGAATTCACCACTTTACTATATTCTGACATACATTAAATCATATTATATATATGTGGCAAGCGCCGGCCTACCTCAGTAAAACTGTAAGACGTTTTCTCCGTATAATTTATTTCAGGATTAATATCTTTAAATACAGCCTGTTTACTCGATGATAACATATCCATACCCGCAGTACTTTCAATTTTCATAGAGCTACTTTCAATTTCCATAGCGCTACTTTCAATTTTCAGGGTGCTTACACCGTTCACCGTGGAAACCGTACTTTCAACAATTTCTGATGTACATTCGTGGGCTGGCTGTCTATCCTTGCTCACCGTAACATTCATTTCCGGCATGATATTGTCTGCAAACGAATAAAAGAAATATGGTTAACATCCACTCGTTCACAACCTTGAAAGAGAGCTGGCAGTACGTGAACGACCCCCCCCCCCCATTCCCGCCCCTGGCAGTACCCGAACGAATCCCCTGGCTGGCAGTACGTGGAAGATTCCCCTGGCAGTAACGATCCCCCCCTGGCAGTACGTGGACGATTCTCCTGGCAGAGGGAATTCGAACGAAGAGTAGGTCTTAGCATCTCTGTCCGAGCAGAAAAAAACATAGCACACTGAATGGCGCATGTCCGTATCCATTAATCTGACTGGTACAGTTAAACATCATTTCATTTAGGCCATCATCATTATCAGGCTGGTGAAGAAAAGTACGGACGTTTAACCTCAAGTCATTCATTTTTAAAAGGGACAATAACACTCTTGCTGGCTTGACAGCTCCAGAAAATAAAAAAATAGCCTTATTCTAAGTACTAGATGTGTTAGTGTCCTACCTGTTGTGTAAATTATCCATTAAATCCTATTTTACTTGTCCAGAGGGTTCGGAAATATTTTTAAATCCAAGTCACATTTGAAAAGCTTTACGCCAGGCTTTTCAAATCATTCAGTTGAATTTTTCCATTTTTTTTAAATTGGATGTGTTAAGATGAAATTTGTATCATCAATTAATTGGAATATTGTAAAATAGTGCAATTTGTTGACCAGAATAAAGATTGGGATATATTATTCACTTACAACAAGAGTAGTATTGAGCCTTTAAACAAAACGTTCATTCATGTAAAAAACAAAAGGGGTGTTGGGAGGCCAAGTGGTTTAACGCACCATTGAGTCAAATGGCGTGGTTTCGGATACCCGATTGTACGTGACAAGTAGTAGGTTCGCCTGTCCAACCTTTTAACCTCGAGGATTTCCCCCGGATACTCCCGTCTCCCCCCACTGCTAAGTACCCCGACTTGCAAAATAATTATTGAAATAAAAAAATTAAACGATAGCTGCAATATTGTAGCGGCGCCTTGTCGGCCGCTACAATTGATATACTCTTCGAGGCTTTGCGCACTTTGCGCAAGTAAAAATAGCTTCTCAAACGCACAATTCTCAGCACATATCATCACAGTTTGTTTTGAAATAAGTAATAAATGAAATGAAATGAAATGGGGTTTAACGTCCTACTGTTCTGCTCCTAAACTGGGCTAATACGCCATACAGTGCGCTATGAGGGAAATTTTGCCCGGGCAGCGGCACTTTTGCCTACTCTTATATCGAATTCCAACTGCCAAGGGATCTTTTACCTGCATTCCAATGTATACACGGGACCTCGGGTTTTCGTCTCATCCGAAGGACTAGACAGCTGTTCTTGCCAGGCCCTCCGTCCTGCATCATTGACAAGAGTGAACCACGCCGGAAAATCTGGATGAACTTTCTCGAGCAATGCAGGGATCGAACACCCAACCTCCAGGATAGCGAGCCAGCGTCTTACCCACTTAGCCACGTTATCCCCAAATAAGTAATAAGCTCTTTCAAAAAAACAATAAATAATTGACAATAACTCACATTCGTAACACCTCTTGACGAATGTTGTATGAATGGTATCTATCTGAATGGCTGGTTCGTTGCCAATATACACGTGACCTTCTATCAACAGACGACACAGTTTAAATGTAACACTGTAACTAAAGGCAACACACTCGTTATCGCCATCTTCCTTATTGTCGCATCTTATAACACACTCGTCTAATTCTGAATTACCATACGATTCCAACATACCAGATAACTTGTAGCCGTCGTATTCGTCATACCAACACGAATCTAAAAATTATAACATAAATATTCTGCGGTCCTTTATTTTTTTGGCTTCAAATGTTATGTAAACTATTATTTAAACATTTATTAACATAACAGCCCTATAATCGACTCTCTAGGGTACCGGATGGCAGAGATTTAACCGGATTAAAATACGTTCACCATTTAATGATTTAATTAAAACATTAATCTCTAACATGCTGGCGGTTCAGCCGCATGAACAAACCAACTTTGAAGATTCCCAATTTTGTTATTGTGTGTTGATGTGTTTTTTTTATTAAACGTAATGACGTCTAGGGACAGCACATCGAGGGGTGAATTTCGGACGCTCTATCAATTCATCATTATGCTCATCGTCGTGATCGTCATAATCATCATGGTCATAATAAACGATAGATCCCATGATAACCAACACCGCTAAAACTGATTGGATTGACATCAGTTGAAACTTCCTTTCTAAATTTCCGTTTTTATATGATTAGAATAATTACCCAGTTTGTTTTCACATATGATCTGGTAATAATCATCGCAGAAAAACGTCCGCCATTTTCCGCTATATTGGTAGACTCGAACACACATGCTGGTGTCTTTTTCATCCGGTTCTCCCGTGTCCCACAATTCCCATGATTCCTTGGGTGTACAGTCAGTCCACGTGTAGTTACCATCTGGCGGACTAATGTCAAAGAGCCCAAGCCAATAATCATTGTTACTAAAAATAGAAATGAAATGAAATGGGGTTTAACGTCTTACTGCTTTTTCACCGAACTGGGCTAATGAAGACGGGCATACACCATACAGTGTGCTATGAGGGAAATTTTGACCGAATAGCGGCTCTACGGCCTACATATCGAATTCCAACTATCAAGGGTTCATTTACGTGCACGCCAATGTGTACGCGGGACCTCTGGCTTTCGCCCCATCCGAACCACTATGTTGTCCCTTGCCAGGCCATCCGTTCTACACCATAGGGAAATCCCCCTGAACTTTCTCGATCAACACCAGGATCGAACCACGAAACCTCGTAATTAGTGAGCCAACGCCTTGTCCACTGATCCACTGATTTCAGAACATTACTGAATAACTATTCATGGGAAACCCCTGAGAAGCTTAATGACGCGGAGGCGGCATGACGTCATTTTGGTGAAGCCATCGACGCCATATTGGTTAACTCAAAACAGCGTCTTTCTAATTCTGTTGACGATATGCCGGGCTGCTCCGGGTAGACTGCTAATGTGGGGGGAAATAGAAGACATATAATATTTTTGGGAAAAAATTCTTTTGCCTGTTAGTCAAAATAATAAAGTGCACGAAATCCCATGACGTTTTGGTTTGAATGACGTCATGCCGTCTTCAATGCAATAAAGCTTCTTGGAAACCCCCTATAAACTGTGCACACGATAAATCTGATTAGAATTATTCGACAGACAATGGGTCGTAGGAATTCCCTTATTTATTAAAAAAAATAAATAAATAAATAAAAACAGAACATTAATGAAATAAAATAGGGATAAAGGCCTCCTACGTTTCTGCACCTTACAACTATGCTACTATGCTACTTACAGATAACCTTCCGCCCTCCATATTGGTGCAATTTTTCCCATGGCAGAATATTTATTCTCATCTCTGATACTGAGGAGCGTCTGGTTGTTGTTTTTACAAATGTTGTAGCCTTCATTCCAAGACTGTTTATTGTTGTATATAGTCAAGTTCCACGGCACAGAGGGTTCGGCTTTAATAAAGCCTGAAAATATAATACAAAATTTGATATATATATATATATATATATATATATATATTTTTAGTTTTTAGCGTGAAAACGTATCTATTTTGGGATTATAAAATGATGACACCACAGTAGCACCCCAGGCGCTGCAGATGTGCTTCGATATGGGGGCAGGTTTCAATTTAATAACAGAGGATGTAGCATAGATGTTTTTTTTTCTTATCGTAGAAATGGTACTTGACAAGCGTGACTGTCTAGATTAACCGTATTTAAAATTAACTTTTTAACTGGTAATCGTGTACAATGCATTTAAATCTCGATCAGCCGAAATATTAGATAGTTGATTATGGGCTTGTCATGTTAATAAATTCCTTATTAACAGTTTATATAACAATATGCAGTCAGTAAAAGACCTACAATAGGCAGATTTAGTTCTTACATGGTGCATCTTTCAGGACTCCAGTACTTGCTGGCATGTTTAGCCTATTCAAACATATAGACATGCTCGGAGGTTTTGTAATGCCCGGAGACAACTCCTACATGTTATGCCTTAAAGACTCAAATATAGTCAGAAATGTGAGAAAAGGAAGGATTTAATTAAACGTCGCTCAGAATAATGTAATTTGAATGACTATTTTAATGTATTCATTTTTCATTATCTATTTTGTAACTATTATAATAAGAACGACCAGCTCTTTATCTACAAATTAGATAATGCATCTTTAAAATCGCACAAAATAACATAATCTTTAGATTTGAATAAAATTGAATTGTATACCGATTTAATTTGTTTAAAATGTAGTAATATGGTCAATTTAGGTCATACATGGCCTTGTAATAGAGTTGCGGGTAATAGCTCTAGTTTGTTTTGGTCGCCACTAAGAACCAATACTGTCATGCACGTGAATTGAACGAGGGTTGGGGTAAGGTTTAGTTGTTTGGGGTACAGATTCGATCCAATGTGTTTTTCTACCTTGCTAATTTGCATAATATGGCGTTGGTTGGTTGTGTGCTTGTGTGTGTGTGTGTGTGAGAGAGAGAGAGAGAGGGAGAGAGAGAGAGGGGAAAGAGAGAGAGAGAGAGGGAGTGCTGGACTGAAATGTGGTCTTTTTTATACATCTTACCTACATACACCAACAATCCACAGTAATAGCCGATGTTTGGTAGACTCGTCTGTATAGAAAATAAGAATGAAATAGATTAGATCGAATTTAAAACATCTCGGTGACCTTTTGTTGTTGGGATACCTGAATGAAATCAGGGGCGTCACCATCCCAGAACCCCCTTGACATTTTGAAAACTCCACCGATTTGGCCCACTATATTTTCCTTTTTAAATTTCTTCCACATTTTTTTTGTTGGCAAAATTATATACAAAATTAAATGTTTTTATGATAGTAATAAGTGGCACAATTAATCAAGTGGCGCATGAGTATCTGTACTCGCAAACTCACTATCACCACGCCCCTGAATGAAATGCGGTGTAGCGTCCTACTTTCCACATTGACTGGGCTAACGAAGATGGCCATACGTCATACAGTGTGCTATGGTGGGAGGGGTTGGTACCCGAGCAGCGGTACTGCGGCCTACTCTATTTCGAATTCCAACTGTCATGGGTTCTTTTACGTGCTCTCAATGTGTTCACCAGACCTCGGGTTTTCGTCCCATCCGAACAACTATGTAAAACAAAAAGCATGTGAGTTAAACTTTGAATGAATTTTATCAGGAAACAATGTACCTACCATTGTCCTCGCTCACGTTCTGGCTCTATTTCGAGTCTTGATATTATTGTTCAAATCCACAATGTTTCAGATTTTCTTTGATCAAGTTAGCAATGAATATATCCCTGATTCTTATGTTCTTGTCAAACGTGGTAACTGCTATAAACGCAGACATTACTCGTCGCCTGAGTCTAAATAACGTTGTTTTAATTGTCCTCACCATCTGTCGATAATACTGTAAAATGTACAAACTTGTGTATTCTTTTAGCTTTCACGATTATTTATTAAACGGATTAAAACCTAATATTACCTAATATCCGGAATTAGAAAATCATGTCTTTAATTGCAGTGTTTTATAACGTTATGTTGTAAATTGCAGGGTTTAATAAAGTTAAATCGTTAATATCAGTGTTTGATTACGCTATGCCTTCGATTGCAGTGTTGCATTATGTTTGATAACGTTATGTCTTCGATTGCAGTTTTGTATAATGTTTTATAGCGCCATTTCTTTAAATACAGCGTTTTATAACGTTATTGTTAATGGCAGCTTTTTATAACATTATGTCTTCAATTACAACGTTTTACGACGTTATTTTGATTTCATTGTCCAATAATACCCAGGAAAATGCTAATTGATCAGACTTCACATAAGTCAAAATAGAAATCCAGTTCCAGAAAACCCGTCGGTGGGAGAACAATAAAACAACACGAGGTAAAACCTCAGCGGGCACGACCGAGTAACTAAGCTCTTGTATTATTTAATCCAGCACAATCAATCTTTAAAATACCAGCGAGTCATTTGCACTTTTTCCGAAAATATCAAATTTTCCACTGCTAAATACACGGAGAAATGTACTGATCATTTAACATTCAATTTAATCAGCAAAATTGAAATGGCAATGCTAGATAATCTCACAGTTCGGATTCTGTCGAAGTAAAAAGAAGTCCATCGAAAGACTTCAGCGAAACATCAAATAACACTGACTTGTCTTGACTATATCCTATATAGCGACCTCAGTGAATGCCGAATGCGGCTAAATTTTCTATTCATCATATATTATCTTTGTAAAACCTATATCTTAGACTGGTTTTCCTTTTAGAGGGTTAACATTCACAGTGTTATAGTTTGGAGAGGATTTACAAATCCATCAAATGTCAACCAGTGATTCAACTGACTTGATTCCCGCGAGAAATAACAAATATACACCACACATACGAACAATATTTTTATACTGCCTGTTTGACGATCGCTTCCACACTGGGTAACATCTTTATAAACCAATCACATGTTTTAAAGATTTCCAACACATAATAAACTAACAATAGCATAGATTAATCTCTTCAATAGTTTGCACACTAAAACTGAACTGTAAAATTAAATATTTCTCCTATGGAATGAAATGGGGTTTACCATCCTACTGTGTTGATCCGACTGGGCTAATGAAGACGGCCATAAGACATGCAGTGTACTACGAGGGAAATTTTGCCGGGCAGCGTCACTATGGCCTACTCTTATATCGAATTCCAACTGCCAAAGGATCTCTTGTGTGCACCCGAACGACTAGACAGTTGTTCTATCCAGGTCCTCCGTCCTACACCACTGACAAGGGGAAACCACGCCGGAAAATTCCGATGAACTTTCTCGGTCAACTTTCTCGGCGAACCCGCGACCTCAGGCTAGGAAGTCGGCGTCTTACTCACTTAGCAACTGTGGCTCCCTTCTCGTACACTAAATTTTTTATTTTTTTATTTTTAAAAGAGCTAAATCTCCATTCTTTGGCACCTAGAAGTGGACACAAATGGGTCGCAACGCGTGTAATAGTGCAATATGAATGAATAAACTAATTTACATTCAATCGTTTCTATGTTACTGTAATTTCTAATCAGTTATGTTTGACGAAATACTCGGAGAACCTAGATTGCATGGCAGTCTTTGACATCTGGTTATTCCAGTCTACACCGGTAATATTCTCCTGTCGTGTATGTTTAACCTCGTTCATCGAGCCGCTTTATTACAATAAGATAACAACATCAATGTTGATTCAATTTGACCAATAAGCCTTGTTTGCAATGTCGAACACTGTGAATGAGTTGAGTCTTGCTTCTTTTAAGGACTACATGTGGAATTTTATCGCCCGACTGTTAAATTAAATACTTCCAGTGGAAAATGACCACGTATTATTACAGTAAAGTATATTCATGTTTTTAATTGGCCTTTAGGATCGACGGTATAATTTCATTTTTAAAATTATTATGCTGAAGTTTATCCAGCACAACAGTATGTCACGCATATTGGTAGAGTCAAATGAAGGATGAGGGAAAATGCCAAAATAAAATTCATGATCATTAACACTCGTATGTGCTTATTTACATAATTTTGCTGATTGAGATCTTGTAAACTGCCTGGCTTGTATAGATACATTTTAAATTAAATACTGTTTTAGTTTTATAAACTCCCCAATATGCTGTATTTAAATACTGTGTTGGGTTTATAAACTCCCCAATACGCTGTATTAAAATACTGTTTTAAGTTTTTATACTCCCCAATACGCTGTATTTAAATAATGTTTTAGTTTTATCCCCCCCCCCCAGCAATACGCTGTATTAAAATACTGTTTTAGGTTTTTATACTCCCCAATACGCTGTACTGTTTAAGGTTTATAAACTTCCTAATACGCTGTATTTAAATACTGTTTTAGTTTTATGTAAACTCCCTAAAACACTGTGACGTATTAGACCAGGTTATCCAGTCGTGATAGATGGTAGACCTGGATAATCGCGTCGTGGAGGGAATTCTCTCTGGTCACGTGACTTCATTCGGATACGTCGTCCAATGTGAAACTGTCGCTGAAGGCAGCTATGATTGCATACTGTGGATCACGTGTCCGATGTGTACGACGTCACAATTTATCCAACAATTCATCTAACTCGGGGAAACCTTCTCGTTTGCTATAAATAGATTTTTCCGGGTGTATCTCCATTATTACACAACAAAGGGCCGGTCTGTTATGTGTGCAGTTAGTTAGTACGTATCTTAGACTACTCAACGCCCCTAGCGCTACGACCTACTCCTATACCGAATTCAAACTGGTATATTCCAATTTATTTTTAACAGTGTACTACAACTATAGCGTGTCAATTCCAAGTCTGTATCTAATCTAAGACGCGTGTTTTTATTTTAGTGGCCGTTATTAAAAATATAACCTGGTCGCAATCCAATTCTAGATCCCATTATTCTATTTAATTAATGTTTACGAAAGGTGAACGAATAAGTTTGAAAGACGATCGACTCATAAAATTTGCCGATACATCAACGTCAATAGTGGTGGAATAATAGTACAAGGATGAATTAAAATCATTCATTACCTCTCATAACACACGGGACTGTATTCATTCGGTACGTAGAGGTAAATTGACACTACGATTATAAGCCAACATTAAATAAATTGAAATGAAATGAAATGAAATGGGGTTTAACGTCCTGCTGTTCTGCTCCTAACCTGGGCTAATGAAGACGGGCATACGCCATACAGTGTGCTATGAGGGGAATTTTGCCCGGGCAGCGGCGCTACGGCCTACTCTTATATCGAATTCTAACAGCCAAGGGATCTTTTACGTGCACGCCAATGTGTACACGGGACCTCGGGTTTTCGTCCCAACCGAACGACTAGACAGCTGTCCTTGTCAGGCCCTCCGTCCTGTATCACTGTCAAGGGGAAACCACGCCGGAAAATCTGGATGAACTTTCTCGGCCAATGTAGGGATCGAACACCCGACCTCCAGGCTAGCGAGCCAGCGTCTTACCCACTTAGCCAGGTGATTCCCTTGAATTGAAATGAAATGGAGTTTAACGTCTTAACTATTCTGCACTACTCGGATTAATGAAGATTGGCACACGGCGTGTATAACATACAATCATATTTATTCGGTACGTCAAAAGAAATTGGCTAAACGATTACAGAGAGCGACAAATGGGGATTAACGTCCACTCGACACAAACTAGGTCATTTCGGGACTAACATATGGTTCTATTTAATTTCAATAATTCGCTTGCGGGTAGCGGGGGGGGGGGGGAATCAGATGACTCGAGAAAAGCCCCTACTTGTCACGTACAAGCGAGGACTCAATGAAAGACCGGCTGATCCAACGCGCACGCGTTACCCCCCCCCCCCCCCCACAAACCTCTATACGATTATAAGCCAACATCAAATAAAATGAAATGGAATGGAGTTTAATGTCCTTACTGTTCGGTTAATGAAGATTGGCATACAGCGTGTAGTGTACTATGAAGGAAATGTTAATGCGACAGCGGCATTTCCTCTTACTCTTCTTTAAACTCCAGATGTTTGTCAAGGGATATTTTACGTGCAATCCAACGTGTAAACGGGATCTTGGGTTTTTTGTCCCTCCTAACAGACTAAACATTGTTGCTTACCAGGCCTGTTCCCCTACATCACCGACAAGGGTAAACCAGTCTTAGCAATCCTGTAGAACTTTCTGAAATGAAATGAAATGAAATGGAATTTAACGTCCTACTGTTTTGAACCGACTGGGCCAATGAAGTGTCAGAAGTGTCAGAATCGAGATCGAACCCTCTATCTTCTGTTTAGTAAACACATTCCAATGGTTAGCACGTGCGTGCTGTATCATAAGGTCTGTCATTGAGTCAACTGGCGTGGTTTCGAATTCCCGGTTGTACGTGATAAGGAGTACGTGGGGGTTTTTCTGGGTCCTCCGGTTTCCTCCCACTGCTAAAGACCCCCACGCGCAAGCGAATTATTGAAATAAAATTGAACCATGTGTTAGTCCCGAAATGACCTAGTTTGTGTCGAGTGGACGTTAAACCCCATCTCTCTCTCTCTCTCTCTCTCTCTCTCTCTCTCTCTCTCCAATGTTACACTAATCAATGAGATATTCCTAACGATAATTATTTCCTTTATCTGTACATAACATAACTGATTAGAAATTACAGAAAAAAAACAGAAACGATTGAATGTAAATCAGTCTATATGTCACAGTCAATGTCAACAATCAGGCAATGTGTACAATGCCTTTGTAACCCTAACCCTAACCCCCACCCCAACCCTTACCCTAACCCTAAACCTAACCTTTATACATCCCCATTATTATATTCGTTGCAACCCATTTGTGTACATTTCTAGGTGCCAAAGAATAGCGATTTAGATCCTTTAATACATTTCATGATATCATGACTACAATATCGATAATCGATTTAAGACGAAAGGTTACGATTGTATGTTTTTAAACACAGAGTGACGGGTCCGATTGATTAGCTGAGATTATTCAGTGTGCAAGCTTTATGTTTGATCCGTGTCTATTGAGGACAAATCCCAAACCACCAAGGTAATATTAAATTAAATGAAACGACTACAAGTCAGTTATTAACACATCCATTTAATGTCAGGAGATATAATAGAGCAACAGGTCCTCCTTGATCAAACTTCATACAAGTCGATAATACCATTATTCTTCTGTTTGGATGTACTCATTGGTCATGCAACGGATAGAGAATGACCCAGAATGACGTACAGGACAGTTAAACCATTAAACATTCTGCGCACAGAGATCCATCTAATTCATACTTCGAGAATAGATCTCAGCCCTGAATGGCCGCCATATCCAAAAATTAGTATACTATTTTGTAATGCGGTCTCTACCCCGTTTCACATCCGTTATATACACAAAGAACAAATAAAACTTTTCAATTTTATTAAATGGACGCGGAATATATACTTCTCAAATTTCTCGAAGTATACATATAGTGTTTTCGAATAAAATCGTCGATTTAGGACTTAAAATGTCGGTCAAATAGCTTAGTGTCTTTTCTCAAGAGAAGCTAACTGTAGACAGGCAGCCTAAGTTTAGTATGCCATTAAAGGAGCTAAATTTCATTATTATCATTTATACTCGAAATTAAAAACACGATTTCAATATTGATCCAATTCATTCAAGACTGATGTTAAAAATATGTGATCCTAATATCTAATATTTAAGACACAAAACGAAATGAAATGGGGTTTAACGTCCTACTGTTCTGCTCCTAACCCAGGCTAATGAATTAACAGAACACAGTTTTTATGGGATACAATCACTAGTTTATTCTAAAAGCACGACGTTTCGACAAGTATCCTCTTATCGTTATCAAGCACAAATGACAATTTAGTAAACTTGTGGACAATATATATGAAATTAATAAGAAACCATCTG